CAGGCCCTGCTGTCGGCAGCAGCTACAAGGAATGCATTTCCATCCCTGGCTGTGGTACCTGTCATCTGTGGTCTGGCACGCAATACACCCTACACCCTGCACCAGAGGTAGCCTCCAACCCCACATAGACTGCATGGTACAGCTCAAAGGCACATAGACGGTGCAGATCTACCAAAGCTGGTAAACTCTAAGAGCCAGCAGGAAAAGCCGGCACAACCCAACATGCACAGACACACACGAAACTAAACAGACTTACTTGGAGGTTCAGGGGTAGTTATAAGTAGGGTTATAAGTCTCCTAATATGGGTTATAAGTATAGTTACCCTACTTATAACCCTACTTATAACTAGCCATGAACCCTAAACCATATACCCTTGTCGAGTCCCTATAGATCCCTTTAAAGGACCCCTATGCACCCTACTTATAACTAGCCATGAACCTCCAAGTAACGGCTTTAAAGCCCCAAAACCGCAGACGCCTCAAGCTTGAACCCGGAGCCGTAATTGATGGGAGGCCAACAGGGGCGTTTAAGATTCTTAGGGTCGGGTAGGGATTCCTTGATATGAACCCTACTATGGGAACCCTTAATCCCTACTAAACCCCCATAGGCTAAAACCCCTTTTGGCCCCCTACGAGGCCCTACGACGTAAACCTTGGGTTCTGGACTGCTTGAAAAAACCTTCAGGGGCGTGCAGCTAGGCTTTAGGGTTGACTCAGGGGCTTCAAACCCAAAGGGTCCAAAGTACCTTTATAGTAGAATGTAGGGTTTCTATATTGGGGATTGTTATTATGATTTGGGAAACGATCCCCATTAACAGTACATAGGACCCTTTGGGGAAGCTTAAGCTTTGACGCTGAGGGTTTGGAGGGTTTGGGGTTTAGAGGATATACGGCATATGGCTTCAAGGTTTAGGATTTGGAAGTTTGACCGTGGCGTGGTGGATCTTCCGGCGCTCGGGGCCCCGGTTTCGGAGTTCTGGCATTCGGGGTTTTGCCTCAGGGTTTCAGGGTTCGAGGTTGAGGCTGTAGAGGTCTCAGGGACGGGGAAGTTTCGCATGGCTTTGTGTAGGGGGTGGTTGCATCACTTTCTGATTAAGGGGTTGTGGATGTAACCTTGAGGGTCTTCTTGCCCCTAAATCACAGGGGATCTTTACCTAGACCCCCCAACTTCCCTCTAATATACCCCAAATACCCCCGATTAAGGGCCATACGGGCGCCATTAACAGGCCATTGGGGGGTCCTGGTAGGAGGCTTTGGGGTGACTTGTCGAATACCATGCTCTTCGTTCACTGCACTCTCGCATCCAGAACAAGTAGGACTGCGACAGAAGGGAACTATAGTACGCATCATATACATGTCGGCAAAAATCAAAATGGAGATAGCTGCAGCGCTGTTCCACAGTATTCTAGGATTTAGGGTTGGGGAATAAAACTGGTCCTAACTTCCACGGGTGCCCGTTGCGTCAATTACCATGCACACCCCATCGGTGCCTGCGCCCGACACACTCGCGCCCTGCCACGAGGCAGGGATAGCAGTAGAAGCCGCCGGACCTGAACAAAGTCTCTGCTGTGACTACGGTTGAGGTCCACCCTTGTAGTAACTTTGTACTAGATGGGGCACTCGGGAACCCAATGCAGAACCTCTTTCATAACCTTGTTCTATGAAGCTTACGGCTTAACGAAGGCTAAAGTAACTCAACAACCCGTAGGCTGAACCGCTGCACGACGAAGACTGGAGCGACGCTGTGAAGCCTAGACTTTCTGCCGGCCTACACAAATAGTGGTTGAAATTAGGGTTTAGGATTTCAGGATTTAGGTTGCTGCTCCTCTCTGACGACATCAGAGGATGAGGTTTCCAGGACAAACGCCTGGCGCGGCAAAGATGGAAACTGGAACGACGAAGTCAAACCCAACCACATAATATTACGGGCCTTGCTAATTAGAATAAGGTTTTGGGGTCCATCATACTATAGCCATAATAATGAACCCCAAAATTGGTAATTTGTTGGTCCCTGCCCGGGAAAGCCCCAAACCCTAAACCCTGAACTCTGAACCCTAAACCTCACAGGCCCATCTTGGGAACAGTCAAGGCACGGATAGCAGAGCCAGTTGCCCCTCCTGGTTTGTTTCGGGGCAACCCAAAGGGTCCAAAGTAGCTTTAAAGTAGAGGCTTCTATATTGGGGATTCTGATTACGATTTGGGGAAGTATCCCCCATAACAGTACATAGGACCCTTTGGGCAAGGAACGGTGCTGGTTTAGGAGCTTTGCTTTTTAAGACGCTAGGATGTAGCCCTAAGCATCGAACTGTAGCTCTCCCTCCTCCCTCTTTCTTACATACACACACACATATATATATATGTGTATATATGTATACATATACACACATATGTATGCACGCGCACACATCTCTTTCACTGCCGACAGACCATTAAGGCCTATATGGCCTAGTGAATCAAATATAGTTAGTGTTTAGGGCATCACCGAGGCACCATCTAACATTTGCAACCGGTGACCTGAAAACCAGAACGTCTCTGCCCTAAACCCTAAGCCAGAGTGTAGGAAACCTTACCCAAACATCCGTAGGGACGCACAGCATGCTACCACGATGAAGGATTAAAGAATTATGGTGTGCAGCTCTGCGCCATCTTCGTGCTGAAGTCACACTTCCATTCATCAAGGCTTATTCAGCTCTAGCTTCCTAAACCCTAAACTCTACTTCTAGGTAAACCCTCGCCGTGTCCTGAAACCCTGAAGCCTCCCAGTAAAGCCTCAACGTCTCACATGCAGCCCAACTCTAAACCCAACGCGAAGCCACAAACCCTAAACCTTAGTGGCTGGGTAGGGCTGAGTATCAAAGCCCTAGAAAAGGCATGGCAGGAATATATAATTATAGGATCCTTAAGGGGGGTGGTTCAAGGGGGAGGATACAAGGAATCCTTGGGGTAACCTTAGGGAGTACTAGGGAGAGTAAGGGATCACTAGGCTATATTGGAGCCCCCTCCCTTAAGGATACTATAATATAAGCCTCAAAAGGTCAAAGGTTACCTACTCAGCCTCTAAAGAAAGCCTCAACTCTAAAGAACCGAGGCTTGCCGGGGAAGCTTCTCGACCATCTTCACCAGGGGAGGGGGCGTGTCGATGCTCCTTGGGGCTTAGCTTGGTGTTGGGGTTTGAGGTGCCATGCTAGCTTTGCGTTTTCGCAGGATCTCCAGCAACAAAATCCACATGAGGGTTTCCGAAAACTAGGGGTACCTCATTTTGGGGTCTTTACAATAAGCATCCTAGTATTTAGGGTATTTTATGAGGGTCCCCCATTTTCGGAAACTCCCACATTGAGCTTGGTAATAAGATCTTGTGCCAAGGACTAGGCTCAGGCAGCTCAGGATGAACCGGAAATAGCAAGCAACCGGATGATATGCGCTCAAAGCCGAAAATCCGTGAAGCCTCTTACTGAGTTATATTGTGAAACTGAAGACACCTGGAAGCCTCAAGCCCAATAGTCCGGAACCAGCATTTACCCAAAGGCTCCATGTACCATCGTAGTAGATACTTAAGCCCTAAAGGGGTCCCTATGTAGGTACTTTAAGGCCTAAGTATATACTATATGGGTACATGGAGCCTTCGACCCTCAACCCTATAAAAAAACCCTGATCGAACCCCTTAAAGGAACCCTTACAGGAACCCCGATTATTTGTACATGGAGCCTTAGGGTTTAAGATCAATTCAGAAATGGAGATCCCTCACCCTGCAACCGAGATGCCCCCATGGAGGTTCCTTCTTTTGCTTTAGCCCGTATTGTAGAAGCCAGAAAGTTGGAACATGACTTTAGGAGGATTAGTGCTAGGATTCTGGGATCCCTTATACTTTACCTTAAGGGCATGAGGATAATGATGTTCCAACTTTCTGGCTTCTGCTGTATTGTGTTTAGGATCCAAAAAAACCCAAAGGGTCCTATGTACTGTTATGGGGGATACTTCCCTAAGTCATAGCAGTAACTCGTAATTTGGAAACCCTACATTCTACTATATCGGTACTGTGGACCCTTTGGAAAAGTACACACCAAAAAGGAATTACACTGGAGACTTCAGGTAATCTCTCACGTTGGTACTTAATCCGGTTGCTTGCCATGTGAAGTACCAAGGGCAACGAGGGTGTGTGGGGCTAGGGAGATCCAGAACTAGGGTTTACGGTGGGTCACGGGCCGAGATTTTCACGACTGCCTGGACACTTCGCTGCCTTTCTGCGTTGATAACTCATGCAAGACTTCTGCGTTGATGACCCGTGCAAGACGGGGGGGTATAACCCACAAAGACAAAACCCTAAAGGTCCATGTATCCATATAGAGATGCATGGGCCCCAAAGTATCTATACAGGAACTACATTAAGGCCAATGTATATATATATATATATTATATGAGTACATGGACCCTTAGGGAAACAAGGTAGGTTTTTGTGGCCTCCTCGGCCGCATAACATGTACGCAGGGATCGCGGTCCAGGACTTTGCTGATACAGGGGCCTTGATGGTTAGAATAGGGTTTTGCGGTATATCATACTATAGCGATAATAGTGGAGCCACCAAAAGAGCATTAGTATTTATGTAGGCACCCATATTCCGTAGTATTGCAGCTGCGGGGCCGCACAGTCGTCGTCCGTTCTGTGGGCCGCTCCATTCCTCGGTAGAGGGGGCTCGAAGGTATGGGGGTGAATGAACGGTTTGCCCAGAGGGTCCATATGCACCACCATTATGGAATTAGGTCCCAAAAGACCATCCCTATTATGGTTTTGGGGACCTAATTCCATAATGGTAATGTATATGGACCCTCTGGGTTGCATAGGTCTTTGATAAGAGTGCGTATAAGGGTGTCGTAGGAGGCTTGCAGCTGTAGGGGATTTGGGTGGCCATTGGCGTCTACTAATCCCCAGGTTTACAACGATACCCCTGGTATCTGGTCTCCCTACGGCTCCATGTAGTATATGCTTTGGGCTAGAAGCACATATGTATATGTATATATAAGAACTCCCTTAGGCCAAGGTATATAGTCCCAAAAGGGTCCTAAGTACCTATTTTGCAGAATGTTGGGTTTCGTCTCTAGTCTGGTTTGGGCAAATATCCCCCATATAGGTACTTAGGACCCCTTGGGAGTAGGGTCTGGAATGGTTCAGGCGGGCAATGAAGGTTCTGACTGTGCAAGGAGCGGCAGGTGTGTAAATCTTACGGTCAGAGGTTTTTGGATGTTTCGGTTGCTTCGGTTGATGGTATAAATCCTGCATTACCTTAAGGACCCTGAACTATGGGAATTATGGTATATTCCTTATTATGGGTAATGCAGGATTTATATCATCAACCGTTTCTGAGGGCTTGACTGCTCTTCGATGGATGGTTTCGGGGGCTTTGGAGCTCTGTTTGTGTGGGGGTTTCCTTCTCTATGCCACAGTTTGCACAGACACTGCCTCACCTGTGACAGCTGACATGGGTATGGCTGAAAGCCCGAGATAGAAGCTTGTACCCCTATGAAGAGACGAGGAGACGTCAGAAGCGAGACTCCATGTACATCATAGTTCTACAAGCTCAGATTTCCAATAATATTGCCACACTACGCCTACTGTGACAGCCCCTGCTTGCGGTTGCTGCTGCCGCCCTCATTCCTACCGCTGAGAACTAAACCGCGGCAACGATGTCTACGGCACGACGACAACGGGAACACCTCTACACTAGAAGGCATGTCTGCCATCGAATCAAACCAAAACCGTACACCCGAAGCCCTACACCCTAAACCGAATGGCGGCCATGCATCGCCACTGAACAGCTTGCTTCTCGCCGGAGCCCTGTGGCAAATAGTGTATTAGTACACGATCGTAATGAACAGGAAACCCAGAGGGTCCATATACACTACCATTATGGAATTAGGTCCCAAAAGACCATCCCCATTATGGCTTTGGGGACCTAGTTCCATAATGGTAATGTATATGGACCTTCTGGGAAAGGAGGCTTTTCTAACCGTATTCATTTCTTGCATGGGAGGCTGCAGCTGAGGGTTCAGTGCTCCAAAGCGGAGTCTTTGCATTTATCTATCCATCTTGGCCTTATGAGGGCTGCGCGTATATGGGTGCTACAAGGCCCTTTTTTGCTGCAGTTTTCAGATTTATGTTGAGAAGCCTTACTTGGAGAATCATGGGACTTGGTAAGTAAGGTTATAAGTACCTTAATTGGGGTTATAAGTAGTTATAAGTACAGTTACCCTAAAAATGACCTTACTTACTAAGTCCCATGATCCTGTAAGTAGACCCTAACCAGTATACTATATTTATCAAAGGAACCCCCAATATTGCTACAGTTGTAGAGACTACACAGGGCAAAATGCTTGATTTCGCACGTCCAATGATGGGGTAGGGTGGGAAGGGCGGGGTAGGATAGGATAGGGCGAGGGTAGGGGAGGGAAGTGCAGGGCAAGGGCACGGCAGTGGATCCCTAAACCCTACCTATAGTCTCCATTGTAGCTCCTTTTTTTGGTTAACAAGTTTTATGGTTAGGATCCTAGAGTAGAGATTTTGGTTAACCAAAACAAGGAACTACAATGGAGACTATAAGTAAACCCTAAACCGGCTACTGCCAGCCACCCAACCCTAAGTGTCCATGCACTCATAATGTAGCTCCTAGATAGGTACTTGGGGGCCCATGTATCTCTATATGGATACCACTATGGGCTATTAGACCCTAAAGATCCCTATTAGGACCCTATTAAGGGTAGATTAAGGTACCCATAAGGTCTAATAGCCCATAGTGGTATGGATACGTGAACCCTTAGACCAACAGATCGGAATGTCACGTCAGAGGCCTGCAGGTCTCGACAAGAACTGTCATGCCACGACTCGAAATCGCAGTTGCGGGCTTTAAGTCCCGACTCAGAAGCCAGCTCAGAACCACAAATATTACATAAGTATAATAACAAGAGAAAATGTATAATAGATAATATATAATATGTAATATAGAAGTACATGTAGCGATGATTACAGACTTGCTTCTCCTTCCACTAGACTTTGCGGGGCTGCCTACCTTCAATCCTTGCAAAACCTCTTGATCTTTTTAATGCGAACCAGATGTTCAAATGCCAGCTATGACGAACGCCCGAACTATTGGGTGGACTTTGGACGGGACATATAGCGAGTTCTACATCTTACTATCCCTGGACACCCAGCCCTCAATCTTAAACCCAATAGCCCTGCATAAACCCAAAAGCCCTACAAGCCCGAAGCCGTGAGCGCTAAGCAGCATCAAACCTGAAACACAGTATTAACTCCTCATGATGTCAACTAATCCCGAAACCTCACATCCCGTAAACCGTTGTAATGCTTACCTTAACCCTGAAAAACCTACCTTTGTAGGGTTCCTTATTATAACTTCCTTATATAAGCCCTTAAAAAGGTAGGCTGTTCCGGGTTTAGGTAGGGCTCATGATCCTTAAGTCTGACGGCTGCCTGAGTCTTCTGGACCAGCACCCTCTTCTTGTTGCCCTGCCCACGGAAGTGCGCCTGTGGCTGAATGCAGCAACTTGATGAAGACACCGTGGGTCTTTATTAGGGTTATCTACATTATTCTGTGAATCCACATATGTTAGTGTTAGACGGCCATTTCTTACTCATGGTTCCTACATTACCTCAGGTCTACCTAGACGCTCACTCGCAGTCCCGCTTGTGAGCTGGATTTTTAGGTTCTCGGGCTTCGGGTCGCGGGGTTACAGGCAGTTATAGGGTCCAACAACAAATCCTCCACCCAAACACGTCAGCTCTCATAGCCTACCCGACTCCCCCCCTCTGAGCTCCTCCCCCGAATGGAAAAGTTGGCTTATCTGTGTCTCATCCTTGAAACCCTAAACCCTAAACCCTAAGAGCTGTTCTTAGAACCTTTCCGGAGACCCTGCCTTTAGAGTTCGACGGACTCCTACCCATCAAACCCAAAGGGTCCTAGGTACTGTTCTGGGTGATGCTTCCCCAAATCATTATGGTTAATTCCTAATACAGAAACCCTACATTCTACTAATCCCTAAAATAGAAACCCTACATTCTACTAATCCCTAATATAGAAACCCTACATTCTACTAATCCCTAATATAGAAACCCTACATTCTACCATGTCGACTCAGGACCCTTTGGGAAAACTAGTGAGCCACACAAGGAACTGTACAGGACGCCAGAAGCAGGTCAGGAGTTTAAGGCTCGGTTTCACAAGGCAGCAGCTCGTTTCGGAACAGCAGAAGAGTAAGCCTTCCCTTGCAACAAAAGGGATTCAGGGACATATCCCTTAGAAGCTGCCCCCACCCTGTAATAGTGACTATAAGGATTATAATCGGGCCCTATTATGTTCCTATTATTATACCACTATCACAGGTTGGGGGCAGCCTCTAACATATCCCGTTTTAAATATGGCTGCTGAACAGGGCACAGGAGGAGCTGCCCGAAACCATCTCTTTCCACGGTTTAGGGTTTAGGGCCCCCTAATGTGATTTCTTTATATAAGTCCCTGAAAAGGGTAGGTTATTTGGGGTTAAGGTAGGCACTAGGGTTGAAGTATTAGAATGCTTGCAAACGAAAGCAGGTTCTCTTAGTCTACGCTTGCGATTCCAGGTCGGTCCAAGAAGATGTCACCCAATTTCGTCGGGTTTGGTGCCACTCAAGGCTTATACATCTTCATCGCTTGAAAAGGTGCAAGACCCTAATTGAATCCTGCACCCCAATACTCGAAACCCTAAACTCCTAAAGTTAAATTCAGCACCCCAGACCCGCTGCATGTAGTAGTAGTAGTAGTAGTAGTAGTAGTAGTAGTAGTAGTAGTAGTAGTAGTAGTAGTAGTAGTAGTAGTAGTAGTAGTAATAGTAGTAGTAGTAGTAGTAGCAGCAGCAGCAGCAGGAGTAGTAGTAGTAGTAGTAGTAGTAGTAGTAGGAGTAGTAGTAGTAGTCGTAGTAGTAGTAGTAGTCGTAGTGGTAGTAGTAGTAGTCGTCGTCGTCGTATGGTTTAGGCTTCAAGCTTTACGGGGGGAGGGGGCGGATGCCGGATCTGACAGGGATGTTTAGGGTTTGGGGTTGCTTAAGGTTCAGAGTCTGCAGAAGAACTATGAGTAAGAAGAGATCAGTTTACGAAAGAATTGATAGAGACCCGATTTAAACCCTAAAAGAGTTCATCTTCATCCTAAACCCTAATGCCCTTTAGTCGTTTCTGGACCCGGAGCCCAAACCCCCCGAACAGAAACTCTGACTCTGAACCCGAAGGCCCATATCCCTAAACCCTAAACCCCTAAACCCTAAACCCTGAACCCTAAACCCTAAACCCTAAACCCCTAAACCCTAAACCCTGAACCCTAAACCCTAAACCCTAAACCCCTAAACCCCTAAACCCTAAACCCTGAATATCCTCAACCCCCCCAAACCCCCTAAACCCCAAAGCCGGAACTGAAACTCGCAGGCCCTAATACAGGGGCGCTATAATGGTTTGAATAATTTTTTGGGGAGGAAGTGTTTATACAGATAAGAAGGAGCACCCAAACTAGTATTGGGCGTTCATGGTTCGAATAGAGTTTGGGGAGGAAGTGTTTATACAGATAAGAAGGAGCACCCAAACTAGTATTGGTAAGTATTTAGGGCTCTATGTCACTTTGAACCACCTCTAAACCTCACAGAGCCGTAAGCTTGGCAGGACCGAGCAACTCTGTCCAGGTCATGCATGGCATCAAAAGCACCAACCTCGGGTCAATAATTCTTGTAGGGTTAGGGGTTTAGGGCTACGGCCCTAAATCCTAATCCCTAAAACCAGACCTAAACCTTTAGGGTTTAGGGTGGCTCGCTCGTTTTTTTGGGGGGGATTTAGGGCCTGGAATCTGAATCTGAAGCAGGTTTCAGTCTTGTTGGCTGTCTTGTAAGCGCCTCGGGGCGCATGGATTTTCTGGAATGTTGGGGCGGGGGGGGGATCCTTGAGGTTCTGGGATTTGGGAATTTGGGGGTGCTCCTGGGGTTTAGGGGTTTTCTGCGATTTCTGGGGTTCCTTAGTGGGTTCTAGCCAAACAGGATCTGTCTGAAGGCACTTGCCGATATGTAGTTTGAACTGCCCTACACTACAGAGCCACACCCCGAAACAGTCACAGCCTGCACGGTGGTCTCAGTCCCAGGGCACACTGTAGAACAAAAAAGAAGCATCTGAACAACACATACAAAAATACACATGTATACGCAAACATACATACACTCAGAGCTACATACATACATACATACATACATACATACATACATACATACATATATATATATATATACATATACATATATATATATATATATATATATATATATGGTATCTGTATGTATGTATATATCTATATATATATATATATATGTATGTATGCATGTATGACATACACATCGTGTATGGCGTAACTTGCAAACAATGTACATGGGTATGCTAGAGTGTACATGTGCTTTTCTACTTCGGAAAAAGGAGAAGATTGTGATCTCGCGAGCTATAGAGCCGGGAACACTGAACGAGAGACATGTGTGACGCAGAAACGCCAGACCTGAAGCAACATAAGGTTTGCGCTTTGCTGGCTTAAGGTGTCTCCGTTCGGAGTTTTGGAGCCTACTAATCTACTAAATCCAAACTCCGAAGAACTTGGAGGTAGGCGTTGACCTACAGCTTCCAAAGCCTCTCCTCCTTGAGTCAAGGACTCAGCTGATAGAGATCAACGTTCCCGTCCTTGACAGCTGTGCAGTGATTCATGCACCGTCGCCTGAAATGGAGCTCTCTCGGCGCCGTCTCTTTCACCATCGATGCATATGGGTGGTTGTCAAAATTATGGTCCCTTTTGGGGTACCCTAAATATAAGGTGCCGTTTTATTAGGGACCCAAAAAGGGACCATAATTCTGACAACCACCCATATTCAGAGTCAGAGCTTACCAAGCCGGCATCCGAGTCAGTAGCAATTTTGGCCGTGAGCATGTTCGGTTCCCAGAGCCTCCAAAACCCCTTAATTAAGGAATAGACCTTAAATAAAGTATGATTTAAGGTATATTCCTTAATTAAGGGGTTTTGGAGTCTCTGGGTTTCACCGTGGCCATCAAAGGAATCAAGTGCACACCACTTGGCTCGACAGTGATATGCTGGAAGTGCTGCCCATACCACTTCGCCCCCTCCGCCGGCATGCTTTCGCTCAACCCCAAAAAGATTGGCCAAGCACCCTTTCAACACCAAAGTAAGAGACATAGCGGGCACATCACCCACCCGCTTGACAAGAAACCACACAAACACAAGGCCAAACAAGGCAAGGACTAACATGAAGACTGGGAATATGCTTGCCAATAAGAACAGTAACAAGATGCAACAAAAAAGAAAGCCATGGCAACAGTAACGAGAGTCGTAATCGTCATGACATTCATGAAAACAACCACCAGCATTATACAAGTCACAGTCGCAGTCGATCATGGAACAACAGCGATCATGACAACCATGATCAAGCATGCGTGACACTGCTGTCACTACTAAAGAACTTCATAACTTAATTAATGACACATTAACAGCTGTACTGCACATATAAGCCTGACACTCCCAGACCCTACACCCGATAGTCCATAAACGATGGACACTAAACCACGCAACCCCTAAATCCTAAACCCTAAACCTCTAATGCCGAAACCCCTTACACTTAAACCCCTTAAACCCCCTAAATCCTCAACCCTAAACCCTTAAACCCCCAACCCCTAAATCGCTAAACGCTAAACGCCCTAAGCCCTATGTCCCGAAGCTCCTATATCCTAAACCCCCGGAACCCCCTGAACCCAAGGGCTCTTTGAGCCGTCATCTCTTACTAGACCCAAGAGTAACCTAGGAATAAAAAGGGTGCCCTTTTTGGTTTAAAGGGGGTTATATAAGGGAACCTAAACCCTTAAAAAAAAGGAATAAGGGCCTACTCTGGGTCCTAGCTTATGTAGTCGATGCACAAGTGATGCAGTTCTGAGTTGTCCCAAGCACCCTTGTCCTTTTAGAAATAATAGACAGAGCCCTCAAGCCCATATCCCTTAGTAGGAATTATTTTCAGAAGGTCTACTAGCCGGTCTGTTTATTCTTTTGGGGGAACCATGAAAAAGGGCAAGGAGGGTCCAAAGACCGGCTGCATAAATCCAAGGGGCCGGTCCGACGCTGGAAACGGCAGGCAAATCCGGGCTCCTTAACGAAGACTGCCTATAGTCTCCATTGTAGTTCCTTGTTTTGGTTAACCAAAATCTCTATTATAGGATCCGAACCATAAAACTGGTTAACCCAAAAAAGGAACTACAATGGAGACTATAGGTGGGTCTTCTAGGGTCTGGGGCTCTCTTGAAGGGTTGCCTGAAAAGGGCTCACTTTGAGGGTTGTATAAGGGGTCTTAAATTTTCTTTTAGGTTTTTTGGGGGCAAGGGTTTACAGTGGAAGCCAGAAAGTTGGAATATGGCTAATGGCGCGCGCCGGTTAATAGGCGGGAAATGTGGACATTTGGAGCTGTCTTGTTCCTGCCTTGTGTCCAGCAAGCTATTGGGGACTCACAATACATGAAACTTCTAAGTTGCCGCAAGCTATTGGGGATTTGCAAGTGGGAACCGTTTCATTTGCAACAAGCTATCGGGGTTTCGCGGTTTGGAACTTCTCTGTTTTGGCAAGCTTATTGCGGAATTGCAAGTGGAGGGCCCTCCTAGAGCGCTTCATTTCCGGCAAGCTATTGAGGATTCGCCATTTCCTTTCTGGCCTTTCGAAATCGTTTCATGACATGAACTGACGAAACATTTCAGTTGCTAGATTGGGCAACCTGTCCAAACTCACCAGCACTGCCATGGACGTGGCACATGTGCGAGGTGCTCTTCCAAGACTCGGCCAACTCTTGGGAACCAACGTAGCCCAAGCGGTGCTAAGCGGACACAATGATGGTGCTTGCAGGAGTTTGTCGCACGCGCCCTGTGAATCAGGCTCTAGGGATACATTACTATAGTGATACAGTTTTGTTATATCGCGGCACACGGGGATAATGCCATGAGTTTTTCTCACCTCTATACTACTTTCCTCTACTTTCTGACCCGGTGATCCCTTAAGCAGGGCCGGGCAGTCGCGCAGACGGATAGTTTAGGATCCCCATCCGAAACCCTAAACCCTACACCCCAAACCTTAAACCCGACCCTGCCCCCCATTGTGGTGACCCAGGGCTGGGAGCTTGCGAGAGCGTTGATCTTGCACTCCGCAACCTGACGCCTCAATATGACCAAAACTACAAGACCTCAAGTATAGCCGAAGGCCAAAACCCCAAGCCCCTGCATAAAGCCTTAAGCTCAAAACCCGCTTCCCCAACTAAAAACCCTGACGCCCTAAAACCAAAACTCCATGACCCGGAATAGCGTAACGATTCTGCCCGACCATGACCCTCTGCGAGAGCAAGGCTCAACAGGTTTTCTTCCACGGCCTTCCTCCACAGAGAGTAGGTCTCCTGTCATGGGTCATTTAGGCTTTGGGGTGCATCTATGCGCAAATACATGCATATACATACATGATATCAGAAGGTTGAAGCTGCAAGTAAGTTAATCCCAGCCCTTACGTTTCCTAAACTGCAATGTCTAGACCTAAAATACCTAACTTAAATTCATGGTTGGCTGCCTGATTGCAGCGCCTCGACAAGAACAAAAGCCATCAACCATTCCTGGAGTAGTGTACATTGGAGAGTTTTGTAGATCTGCAGAGCCCAGAGACTCATACGGTTGATGATATAAATCCCTAGGGCTGCTTTAAAGGGATCTATAAGGGTACCTTAAGGGTTCCTTTAAGGGATCTCTAGGGATTTAGGGTTTAGGGTCTAGGTTGATGATATAAATCCTGCATTACCTTAAGGACCCTAAACTACGGGAATTATGGTAGATTCCTTACTATGGGGTCATGCAAGATTTAGATCATCAGCCGTAGCACTAAGCCCAGGAAGCCCTGGTAGAACCCTCGTAAACACCATTTTGGGTAGTTGTCAAAATTATGGCCCCTTTTCGGACACCCTAAATATTAGGTGCCGTATTATAATAAGGATCCCAAGACGGACCATAATTTTGACAACCACCCATATAGAACCCCTACCTAGGCCCCACTACAGATCCGACAGACGGATGGTTGAAGCATGCCAAACTCAGAGGCTCCATATGCAGTGCCATTATGGAATCAGGCCCCAAAAGACCATTCTTATTATGGTTTTTGGGACCTAATTCCATAATGGCACTATATATGGAGCCTCTAGGAAACTCAACACCACAAGATGGTAGGATGCCGTACCCTATAACGCTTAACCAGCTGAGGATTCCTGCCTGGAGGACCCCTACACTTGGCGTTTAGGGTTTAGGCGTTTACCGTTTAGGGTTTAGGGTTAGGGTTTAGGGTTTAGGGTTTATGACACCCTAACTCACAACCCTTCAAGCAACCCTGAGATCCCTGCATGCCATGTCCTTTGTTAGTCTGTGCGACAGGCAGTCGTCCAGGTCGGTGAGGCGGATGGCGATCGGCCGTCGTCCGTAGCCTTGGTCTGACCCCTACCTACCCAAAGAGTCCTAGGCACCGTTATGGGGGATACTTCCCCAAATCATAATGGTAATTCCTTATATAGAAACACATTCTACTATAAAGGTACTTTGGACCCTTCGGTGTTTTTCTTGAGTTTTAGGGTACCTACTTGTCTATATAACAGATCCTAACCCTAAGCCTAGGTACCCTAAAACAGGCGTAGGGTATGATCCTTTCGGCAAAGAACCTACCTTCTTCGCTTTCCTGTCCTTGATTTCCGCATACACATCTTGAAAAAATGAAGGCGGTTCAGGAAAACCGGCGCCCAACACTGTGTAGTGACTTTCGCTTGTTTCTCTTGAGGATTTTAGATCCTAAGGCTCCATGTACCCATATAGTACGTAGGTACTTAGGCCTTAAAGGGGTCCCTATATGGCTACTTTAAGGCCTAAGTACCTACTATATGGGTACATGGAGCCTTTGGGCCTAAGCCCTGAACCCCGAAACCAAAAAGCACAACAAAAGTAGGGGTCTCAGGGATAAGAGCTCTAGGACATCATGGTGTGGGGATCGGGGTACCTTACCTTATTGAGGATCTGAAGAATAGGGGTACCGCATGGTACCGCTATGTTAGGGTCTCATATCTTCTGAAACTCCCATATCATTCAGACGAAAAGCACACGATCTTGTGCAAGTTCAGTTCCTGCATCAACGGCAAGGGCACATATCGTCCTGCGCAGCTCGGAAATTGCAGTGACTCAGTCCTTCCAGAAGCTGTTAGGGTGGGGAACTCAAGACACGAGTTGTTGTTCGGAAAACGGTACCTGGACCCCTGCGAGGCACCAAAGATCAGCGCACTCACGCCCAGTTGTTACCAGATACTCACGGCTAAGGTTTAGGGTTCAAGGTTTACAAGCTAAAAGCCGCTAGAAGATCATTCCGCTCCCAGAGTTTGGGCATAGGGTACTCGCAGTAGCCGAAGCTACGGCTCCTTGACGCTTAGCTGACGATGCTTTCGAGGACCTTAGAACTACCTGGGAATCCAAAAACCTACCGTCTCAAGGGTTAGACCCTCTAATTAAGGGGTCATAACCTACTATTTTGTAGGGTTTGGGGTCACAGGTAGTTTGTGTTGGAAGGAGGTTTAGGGGTTCTGGGATGAAGGAGTTGTTCATTATAATATGTTCGGTTCAAATCAGCCACGAAGAAGTCCTTAACCCATCTGACGTTGCATTCTTACCTTATATTGTAATTATAAGATGACATACTACGGTATATATCATGAATTAGTATACTATTCAAGTATTATATTGTGTTCAACCTAATCCCCAATCCTTCACTCCCTCGCACCTTGTCGCGTGAAGGCTTCTGTGTCATCTGTAGCCAGCCATGTGCTGTACCCTGGCATCGAATTTCGCTTGGGGTCGACAAGTTCGCGATACAGTGTTTCTGCTCTTGGTTGTTCCCTCCAGACGGGATGAGGGTTTAAGGTTTAGGGTTTTGGGTTTAGGGATGGCAGTTGGTTTGCATACAGAATTGAGGCTTGAGGGTTTGGCTAAGAGTTTATGGGTTTAGGGCTCACGGGGTTTCAGGCTCTAGGGGTTTAGTTTTGTTTTAATGTAAGGGCCTTAATAATAGAACAGGGTTCATATTATAAGCATAATAAGGAACCCCCAAAAAACGAATTGGCAAAAATTTAAGCCCCTTATAAGGCCCCTGCATTACTTGGAGGTTCATGGTTAGTCATAAGTAGGGTTATAAGTACAGTAGGGTAACTATACTTATCACCGATATTAGGGGACTTTTAGCCGTACTTATAACTACCCCTGAACCCTACACCCAGTACCCTTATAGAATCCCTATAGATCACTTAGATCCCTTTCAAAGGGACCCTTATAACTACCCCAGAACCTCCAAGTAGGGTTTCAGGGTTTATGCGCATCTCGGTGTCGCATCGAGGCTTGGAGGGTGAGGGCTCGAAGATCTTTAACTCTGCTGGCCGAAGCCCCCTTTAAAGGGATCCTTAAGGGTTCCTCCAAAGGGGTATATAAGGGCTACTATGAGGGCTTCTAAACGGCTTAATAAATACCTGTATTCTTTTGGGGGTTCCTTATTATAGTTATAGTATACTGGGCCCCAACCCTTAATCAAACCCCCACGCAAAAGCAAGCTTGCGTAGGGAACTCCAATGACAAATCAAGCCAGTGCATGTATGCACAGAGGCATTAACAAGAAACAAAAACATCTATTGACAAACCAAAAAGGTTTAAAGCTGTATCGACTTTGCAAAAGAGATCCGGGATCGACATTCAGAGACTGAACAGCCAGTCCAACACAGCTCCGAAGCAACACTGATATCGGTTTAGGGCGGGTCCAGCTTTGAACGGCTTTCGGCTTGCTGGAAATTTACGCTTCAAACGCCTCAGTCACAAGCAAAGCCGAGGTCGTAAAGTTCCAAAGCCCAGGCAACCGGACAGCTCCAGCATACACATCACACACGAAACCTGCGTAAACACAATGCTCACCAATATTCCTAGCTCAAGCACTGCAAACACTCAGCACGACCCTAACCCTTAGGGTCCATGTACCCATATAGTATATACACTGGCCTTAAAGTAGTTCCCATATAGGTACTTTGGGGCCCATGTATCTCTAAAAGGATACATGGACCCTTAGGGAAGAAATTACTGCAAACACTCAGCACGACCCTAAGGGTCCAAGTACCCAATTATCATATACTCTTAAAGATGGTAACCTACATAACTACTATCCCAAACCCGAGTACCTAATTATTGGGTCCTTTGGACCCTTAGGGCGACCCTAATATGAACTGAGCTGTGCTGCCACATATCGTCCGCAACCAGGCTGTAGTCCTCATTTGGGAGTTTCCGAAAATTGGGGGCACCTTGTTTTGGGGTCCTTATAATAATGATCCTACTATTTAGGGTACTATTTTAGGGTCCCCTATTGTCGGAAACTCCCATTTCTCCATGAAGGCCAATCAAGGCCTCATTTCGGGATGAAGCCAATCACCCAAAGGGTCTGGGCATTTTGGGGGTCTAAGTATATGCCATAATGATACTTGGACCCTTTGGGTCAAGGCTCGTGTAGGGCTTAAAATGTCTGTAGTTGAAAGCTTAAAGTTTATGGTTCTACCTTCGCTTCAGTGTTTTGGGGTTGGCATGCAAGAAGTTGGACCCTCGAGCTGCGGAGATTGGTTCCTCAAGGTTGTTGCCTTTGGGGTGAGACTCCAGTATCCCTTCATCATATCTCTGGCGGACCGAAGACATCACGACCACAGCAAGAACTGTTTGTTATTTTCAGAACAGCAAATAAATGCAATCAATAATGTTGTCATGCGGTGTGAAACAATGGCAACACATCTTCTTGGGCATTAGCCATTACCTATAGTCTCCATTGTACTTACTTTTTTTTGGTTAAACAAAATCTCTATTATAGGATCCGAACCATAAAACTGGTTAACCGAAAAAGGAACTACGATGGAGACTATAGGTAGTCTTCAGTCGTACGGTTTGATATTGTTGGGCTTCAGGATTTGAGGACTAGGGCTTTATAGGGTAGAGTATACTTTTGTTGACATGGGAACCCTAAGAAATAGTGACTGGTAAATATGCAAGCTCCTGTATATAATATCACAAGCTCCTGTACATAATCTCACTCTACACTCTAAACCCAAAACCCTAATTTTTATGCCAGTCGGAGAGCGACAATGTTGTCTGCCGGACCCGGAAGGCGGTGAAGCGGTCTGAATAAGTACTCAAGAATCCCGATAGCCTTTAATTACAGAGCGCACCCAGAGACTCCAGCATCCCGTACTTACAAAATATACCTTGAGTTATAGTAGGATCGCTAAAATGACTTAAGGTGTATTTCTTATCTGAGGTTTTTGGAGTCTCCGGCAACCCTGATACCCCTTAATAACAGATCTTGAGAGAAGAATGTATTAAGAAACCTTGGGCCTTAATGAGGGTTCCTGCTATGAATCCGACTATTGCGGGGTTATAGGCCCAGGGTTTCTTAATCAGATTCCTACATTACGGGGAATAAAGGGCCGCTTGTTGCGGCTCAATATAGCAAACCCCAGAAAGTTGGAAACCGGATTAAGGCCAAATAGTGCTGGGATTCCCTTTACATTACTCCCCTAAACCCTAAACCCTGGGCTTCTACTGTAGCGGAGTGCTGGGGGCTCCCTGTGTCGACTAACATAGGGGGGCCCAAATAATTGCCAACACTATTTTGGGGGGTTGCTTTAAAGGGATCCTTAAAGCGGTCGATGCGGGATCTATGGTAGGGTTCTATGGTATAGGGACCCAAATAAATACCAGTATATACTTTTTGGGGGTTCCTTATTGTAAGTATAGTATAATGGGCCCCAAAACCCTATTCTAATTATTGAGGCCGCTACATTAAGATGGAAGCAGATCTTTAGCCACACACCTTTTTGCACCCAAGGCACACGGACTTTTTCAAGAGCACTGCCCACCACCTCGGCCGATTCATCATGTCAGCGGGCGCAAGGACCAACTTCAGCAGCTGAAACCTAATCCAATATCATACACGATCAAATATTGAACACATCCAAAAATTCCGGAGCCCCAACCCCTAAACATACCCTAAACCCAAAACCCTAAACCCTAAACCGACCCTCATGGCCTGCACCCGAATCCCTCAATCCCAAGGCTGGCAGCCCCAACGAGTCAAACCTGAATCCCATGAGTTCTGAACGGTAAGGACTCCTGTACAGGGCTTCTTTATGAGGGTTCCTTTTCAGGGGTTCTTTGAAAGGGTTCCTTTAAGGTCTAAGTCTAAGTACCTAATGTGCAATATAAGGGGCTGTATGACATATCTTACATATCTTACAGAAGTACTTACGAGCACTTTCACCTGTCAAACTATCTAACTCTTGCATACTTGGCACTCGTCCGGCTGGGAGGAGTGAAAGCAATACCAAGTCATACCTGGCAAGTCTGTAGGCTTTAGGGCTGCGGGCCCAAAGATGTAGCCGTGGGGATCAAAATAGCCCAAAAGCCGTATATAGTATGGCCTGTGGGTCCAGACGCCTTAAAATATGAGTCCTTAGATCCCTAGGGTAGGGCTTATGGGACAAAGCCGCTCAAGGTTTGCATCATCTAGCGCTCTTATGAAACCCTGAACCCGAAAGCCAGGAGAGTAGAGGGTTCAGAAGTTTAGGCCTTTCACCCCAAGAGTTCCCCTTAATTAAGGAATATCCCTTAAATAAGGAGTATACCTTAAATCATAATAGGGTCCCTAGTATGATTTAAGGTATATTCCTTCCATAAGTGCTCTGAAACCCTAGCTACAATTTTTTGTTATTACAACTCTAAACCCAAGCCCTGAACCCTGAATGAACCCTAAACCCCAAACCCCCTTTTCCTTAACTTCTGCACCCAAAACCCTCCACCCTCTCAACCAAAATCCTGAAGCTCTAGCCTGCTCGATCAAAGGAGAGATTTGCATGCTGTTATACCGCTTCTCAACAGGCTTGAGGGTTTACGGTTTAGAGTTTAGGGCTTCGGGTTGCCAAAGTGTTTAAACCCTAAGGGTCCATGTACTCATATAGTATATACATTGGCCTTAATGTAGTTCCTATATAGGTACTTTGGGGCCCATGTATCTCTATATGGATACATGGACCCTCAGGGAAATAGGGGTTGTCAACTTTGTAGGGGCTTGATGGAGGTGTCTTGCGCTTTTCTTCCTGGGGCCCCTGACGAGGAAATGCGGTGGGGGGTTCTAGCAAGACCCTCACCTGTAAATGCTTTTGCTGGTTATCTTATTTCTTGACGGTGAGATCATAAACATACCTGGAGGCTCATACCCTACCCCTTTTTTAGGGCGCCTACTTTTTAAGATAACAGATCCTAACCATAAAACTAGGTACCCAAAAAAAGGGGTAGGGTATGAGCCTCTAGGTCGAGCCAACCAGAGTCAGAAACTACATTGGCAATACCGGGTTCATGCAGCAGTTGCGGTCTCCAGGTCAGTAGAACCAACCCCACATACTTCAATCCCCAAGGCCCTGGCTCTGAACTCTTTAAAGCCGAACCTCACACCCCCCAGCCAAACTGGACGGAGACATTTCGGCGAAACTCCCAGACACAGCTGCTGTGAAATGCCTGAGTAGGTAAGCATGCGCCACCAGTTCGAAGCGAACTGCACCGGAGGCGGGACCTCGACCAGCGGGGCTTTCTCACAATGTAGGGCTGCGAGTCCAGGCTATGTTTGAATTCAGAAACGACAAGTGCCAGGAAACCCTGTTGAATAAAATCTATACGGAAAGCCAACAAATACAGTATTGCAGGCTTCTTAGTGATCCCCGTTGCATGTGGTAACTATCTGCAAGTTTCAGAAGATAAGTGGTCCCAATAATTATCAACAAGGACAGCCCCTCAATCTTGGTCCTCATTACAAGAACCGATAAAGGTTTAGTCAAGTCCGATCAAAACTTGTTCATACCCTAGCACTCCAGGGTTTGAGTTTGGCGTTTGGGTAGGGGCATCAACGAGGCGAATAACCCAAAGGGTCCTAGGTACTGTTATGGGTGGTACTTCCCCAAATCATAATGGTTTTCTACTACTGGGCTTTTAAGTAACCAGGGAAAAAAGTATAAACGTTGATTTCATAATGGTTCCTTTAAGAGAAAAGTATTAAAGTATGGTACTCCAAAGCCCAGACTATAGCGGTACTTAGGACCCTTTGGGTAAGGTTAGGCAGACTATCCTTGAAGGTTCCTGCTAAAGAACCGATATCCGAAAACAGCAGTTTAGGGTTTATCAAGGGGGAAAAGGAGGGACCCTTATGGGGACCCCTACCCTATAATGGGCTGTATAATGGGTGTTTAATAGCTATATTAAGGGTATCTACCTAGGCGTCCTTATTGAGGGTCCCTCCTTCTACCCTTGGATTCAAGACGTAACCAAGTACCAGGGGTTATACGAGTCCTACTGACAAGGGACATAGTCCCCGAATCTCCCGCCACGAACCTAAAGCCAAGAAAGCTACAGCTACAGAGAACTCCAAAAAGTTGGAAACCGGATTAAGGCCAAACTGTGCTGAGATTCCCTATATATTACTCTTAGGGATTGAGGCTATTGGGTTTCCAACTTTTGGGCTGCTACTGTAAGTATACAAACACCTTGGGATGTACTCACGATACGCCCCAGGCAAATAACAAAGAGGCTTAAGCACCTTTGGGTTTTGCTACAATTCTATAGACTATTTCCTACGGCTCGAATGAGAGCCCAGTTCAATTCCTTAATACATATGTAGATACCCACGGAATTAACCGCTGTGGCTGAACCCTTAAACACTGAAGCCACGGACCCTACAGACCATGCAATCCACCTAAGCCCTGAGCCCCAAGTCAACGAACCCGTTCTCAGGTCCAAAACTCAGGAACCTATACCTGGAGGCTCCGCAGTAGTTCCTTTTCTTGCGGCTCTAGATAGAATCCTATAAGGTAATCCCAAAAAGGAACTACTACGGTTGATGATACAAATCCTGCATTACCCATAATGAGGAATTTACCATAACTCCCATAGTTTAGGGTCCTTAAGGTCATGCAGGATTTATATCATCAACCGTACTATGGAACCCAAGGGTACTCGGAAAGCTGCAACCCTTGGTCTGCCAAGAGCCTGTAAAACGTCAACCCTACAGCCCAACCCCATGCCCTAAACCCTAAACCCCAAACCCTAAACCCTTAAGACCCTAAACCCTAAGGCCCTAAATCCTAAACCCTAAAGCCCCAACCCTAAGGCCCTAAACCCTAAACCGAACCCCATGCCTCCACAAGACCGTCGTTCGGGGCGCCGGGGCTTGCAGCCTCTTCGCCGTCGTCCGATTCGTCCTGGGTTTTGATTAGGCTCTGAAGCTTCAAGACTTTAGGGTGTAGGCTTTAGGGTTTAGGGCTTAGGGTTTAGGTTACCTTAAACGACCAGACCCTATAGGCTCTGATGATATACCCTGTAGGGTCTGTACGCAAAAGTAAGTCTTGGGAGGGCTCCAAAACTTACCTTAAATCATAGGGACCCTTAGGGGGGTAGGGGGAGGGGGGTAGCGGACTATACTTCCTTAAACAGGCCTTATTAAGTCCTTATTATATATAAGGCCACCTACCCCCCTCCCGCTAAGGGTCGGTATGATGAAACTACCAGACCCTATAGGCTCTGATTATATACTATACTGAACTTAGAACCATAGCGAAAATTATGATTTTAGCTGTTTCTTAGGGATCAGAATAACCACAAATTACAAAACTATTTCTAGGAGCCCCACAGTATACCCTGTACGGCCCTCTACCAAAAAAGTAAGTTTTGGTAGCGCTTCTGCAGCTGTGGCACACTTAGAAAAAGGGGCCTAAAAGGGCCCCTGACATAGAGAACTACGCTCATATTACAGTGACCTTGCCGGCAGAAAGATATGTGCCGGCCTGGGCTGTTCTAGTCAAAAGTTCAGGATTGATGTTGAGCATGCGGGCTTGAAGAAGTAGAATGAGCTTGTTGATATCTGCTTTATGACCTGGCTAGAATGCAGGTGTTGGCGATCAGGTGAGTAACTTAGATCATTCTGGAGGCTTGTGTCTTAAGTTGTCGTCTTTGGGGATACATGCCAGAAGCTCGTGCAAGAAGCTGCTAAGCCCCAAGCCCTGCACCGCGACCCTCACGTGGATCGCTATATGCGATCAGTTTCGAGATGAACCCCTACAGCTGTAGAGTTCCAAGCCCTTAAAAGCAGAACCTCATGATGTTGATATGGGAGGCTCGGTTTAGGAGTTTAGGGTTTGGTGCATCTACCAGAGCTTTCCTGTGGAGCTGCTCGCAGACTAGCAGCATCGCATCAGCCAAAGCATGAAACTCGAAAACTTGCAAACGCCCATAATCCCAAGCTGTCTGTTTTGAGCGGTTTCGAATTTATAAGCCAACCTATCCCATGTGCAACACGTACAGCCAAGGCTTCCAACACGATCTGGTCCATCGCGTCATGCGCCGGTTGTGCCCGGCCGAATTGGCCCATAGCAGGACAACAAATTCGGAATGCAGGTGTTCAGGCTTTACGGTTGTGGATTGTCGAGTTCAGGAACATCCCGCGAAGGCTCGAAAGTAAACCCTAAAACCCGAATCTTCTTGCGGTACTTGCGGCAAGAGTGGCTCATTAGAGTCTATCAGAGGGTTGGGTTGAGGGTGTTACGGTGTAGGGATTGCAATGCTTGAGGTTCTAAGGTCTACGTGTGCGGTTCAGGGCTGTGAATTTGTCTTTCGCTCTGTCTGCCTAAGGCACCGTATGAAGACTGAGGGATCTTTGAGGTTTGCTTTGGCAAGCTTGTCTGAGCTCCGGAAACATAGCGACCCAGCCTCCGTGCCAGGCTTCGGAAAAATGATTGAGTAATCTACCCCCACTTCCGGCAACAAACCTAAACAAGCCAGGAACCCCTAAACCCGTAACTCATAAACACCTAAACCCTACACTCCTAAGTTAACGCTAACAGAGATCCTCTGTCCAATGTCCGCCCTAAACTAATTCCCGAAGCCGCAAGCCCGGTACTTCATTTCCTAAACCCTACACCTTAAAAAAAATCAAACCGTCTAACCCTATCCTAAACCAGACGAAAGCAAAGTTATTTCGGGGCCTTAATAATTAGCCTGGGATTTTAGGGCCCCCTATACTGTAACTATAACAAGAAACCCATTCCCCCCCAAACAAAAAAACACAGTCTTTGTAATTATTTCGACCCCTGATATAGAACCCTATGATAGATCCCTTATAGGACCCTTTAAGGATCCCTATAAAGGGAACCCTAGGGAACCCCAGACAAAAGCAGAGTCGTCGTTTTTGACTCGCTTGCCATGAGCTCTTCAACTTCGGGCTCGGGATGCTGCCGCAGGCCGACATCCCCCCAGGCCACTCCTGTTTCGGGTTTAGAGTTTAGGGTTTATAGGGTTTAGAGTTTAGGGTTTATAGGGTTTAGGGTTTAGGGTTTTTCGGGTTTAGGGTTTAGGGTTTATAGGGTTTAGGGTTTAGGGCTTGATGCCAACAGCCACGGTTCAGGGTTTAGGCTTTAGGACGCCAGCAAGGGCTCTACGTGATCTCTGTATATGCTTAAGAGTGTATGTATGTATATACAAACACTATGTGTATGCATATATAAAATAATACATACCTCGAGGCACATCCACGTATACGTAGGTACATATGTTGTCATAAAATGGTCAGTATAAAACTCTAATATGTTCGGTGCAGATGTACACATCGTACGCATGTACTTACATACAGTACATACATGCATACATACATGCATGGATGCATGTAAACATACTAGACACATAGACACACACACACACACAAATATATATATATATATATATATATACATATATATACACACATATTTAGTGTACACATATGTATATGCACATTGTAGCATAGACGTGGTGGAGTCTGGGGCTTATATGGCTGGCGGATTTACGGACAACCGCACTGTACGCATTGCTAAAAGCCTATCTCGGTAGTACCCATAGTCTCTGTCGTAGTTCCTTTTTTGGGTTACCTTCTGGTAGCAACGATGGCCGGCAGTGCGAAGGCTCGTGGTCAACAATGGCATGTGCTTCAACACAGCTCGAGCGTGACGCTGCCAAGCGGAGTTGAAGAAGCAGGAGCTACCGACTGCGTGTTCGATAGCGGAGTGTCCTGAATCTCACAAGCCCTGGAATGCCCCAAACTACTTCTCAGTGCTTATACTTAAAGGTCCCCAAGAATGCTTGGCACCTGTACAAGCCCCACATACCAAACTTTCCCGAAGAAAGAACAGGCTCGGCAAGTGTGCATGATCTCGCTGTTACTCGGGGCGTAACACCGAGGCCAAGCCCTAAACACCTAAACCTCAGCTCGTCTAATCCCTAAACCGGTAAAGCACCGCTTGGAGGATCATGGGAATGAGTAAGTATGGTAAGAAGTACCTTTATTAGGGATATATAAATACTGATTAGTATAGCTACCCCAATCGTAACCCTAGTTACTAATTCCCATGACCCTTCAAGCAAGCCCTCGGCCAGAACCACCTGAATCTTCGGCAGTGAAGGCCATAAAGGAGCCGTCCGTGGCGTAGATGTGGCGAACGCCAGAAGTCCTGAGTTGCAGGCCTTTAAGCTTTAGAGGGTCTAGCGATCTTGGTTCAAGTTGTCGGGTTGTTTTCAAGGTTGTTGCAACTTCATACAGGATCTGCATATTATGTATACACACATGTACAATCATGTAAACTTACACATAGGTTTGAAGAATCTCATAAGCAAGCTTGGGATGGGGGGGTCAAGGGTTCCGGATTGTCTTCATCGGGGGGTAGAGACGACTGCGCACCAGCATCTTTACAGGTTTTGGCCTGATGTTCAGGTAAGACCCTACTTCGGGATAGGCGTTTGGGCTCTCAATGTGTGTCTCCGACAATAAACAACAACCCCTCTAAAGACTAAGCTGCAGTTACCACGACCATAAGCAAACAAAAAACATTTCGGAGACCTGGACATGTATAAATCAAGACCCTTACAACACCCCGAACACTTCCAGCCACTATAGCACCCCTACAAATCAAAGCCATTGTAAACATGAAAAACCTTTCCAAGCCAGCCCTGCCTGCAAAAAACCTAAGCCATTCCTTGAACAGACCTTTGGGTGTAACGCTTCCCAGCCCTCGAGGTGCTGGGGGCGAGTTTGTTAAAAAGCATGGCCTTCGTAAGTAGAAAAGAGCTCTTGCAAGAGTACTAGCACAAAAGTTCAAACTTTGGAAGTCCGGAAAAGAAGGGGAGGGGTGGCAATAGGGCGCCTTCATCAGTGGAATGGGTTTTTGGAAGGGTATGGGTAATTTCGCTGCCTTTGTTGAGGCTGTGGGGGGTTGTGGTTTTCGTCCCATCAGGATAATGGAACCTCCACCCACCTCACCTGAGGGCAGAAAAAGGGACAGCTGTGTAGCATACATGTCGGCCAAGGAGGGTGCACAATCATAGGTCATAGCCCCGCAGACCAGTGTATCATCCCTGCGGTAGTAGCTTTTTGGATGATGACCCTGTAGACACAGTCCATGACCCCGACAACTGGTGGGTTCTCGGACATCGGGAAGGCCCATGGAAGCAGAGCCACAGAAAGGGCTGTGCCGCAGCACAGTCGCCACCATCGCCTGGGCTTCCCCAGGCAACGAGCCTTAGTCGGAGATTTCAGGGTTTAAGCGAAACGTGTCTGATGCATACCTTACGAGCCCTAAAGTTTAGGGCTCGTAAGGTATGCATCACACACGCTTCGCTACATAATTTTAGTTTCTATTTATAATTATAGGAATGCGTTCCTTCATTCCGAGTTGTTGGGCTCGCTCGTCCTTTCATACAGGTTGTTAATGTCTTTCGGGTTGCGTTTGGGGCTTTCGGCTGTCGTGTTTGTCGTTGGCCTTGTCAACCTGAACCGTGTCACCAACACTGCTACAACACCCTATGAGCCACAAATCTCAAAAACCTTAAACTTCCCTCACACGCCACATCCACCCGATGTAATTGCAGAGCCCTATTTAGCCACATGTATCTCAAAACCCTGCTTTGCAGTAGTGTGGGATAAAAGCATAGACGAGTCTTTCATCTGACGCAAAAAGCCCAGTAGTACCCTCATTCCCTTTTTGTAGTCCTGGGCTCCCTATAAAGTTACCCAATACCACAATGGGAGCCCTTTTGAGGGCAAAGGGCTCACCCTCCAGAGACAGCGCCGCGAACGCGCGGGCTGTGGAAAAGACCTCGGTAAGCAAGAGGTTCAGGATCTACACTAGGATGCCGAGTAGCCTAGGATATAAAAGGGCTCCCACTGTGGCATTGGGTAAGTTTTTTTATAGGGAACCTAGGACTACAAAAGGGAATAAGGGTACTACTGGGCATCCTAGCACAAGTACGGGCTTGGAGTTTAGGGCCAGCTTAGGGTTCTGGATCTAAGTTTAAAGGATTAGGGTTTCGGGATTGCGGTTTTGGGGATCGGAGTGAAGTTTAAAGGATCAGGGTGTAAGGTTTATATAAGTCTCAGGATCTAGGTTTAAAGAATTCGGGTTAACGGTTTAGGATTAAGGGTCTAAGCTGAAAGGATTCGGGGCTTAGGGCTTCTCCAACCTGAATGTACCATAAAAGACCTTGAAAGTTCAGGGGATACCTGAAGGGTTTCACTGTTCAGTAAGGTTCTCTGGTATATCCCGGCGGCGGTATTCCTCCTACACTCAATACAATAGGATGTCGATTTTTGTTTAGAGTTACAACTATATGAATCTTAATCCCAAGGACAGCCCATGATTGATTTTGGCAGAGCCCACTGCATCCCGAAACTATGCATGGTGCCTCATTCACCAATTTACAACGGCGACTTGGTCACGGCCTGAGGGCCCTGTGGGGATGCATCAGATACGGACTGCATAATGGCTACCCATACCTTAACCCCAAGTAAACTACCTTTTAAAAGACTTATATAACGAAATCATATTAGGGAACCCTAAAAAGTTAGGTTCCCTCGGGTCCAGGTACAGCTACTCAGCTCAAGATAAGGAGTTGGAAGATTCATGCTGTGGCTCCAAGCTCCAGTGGATGCCTGGAGCTGCAGCTCCGTCTATGAACTCGTAGTGGTTCATGGAACATGTAGTGTTTCATAACGCACTGCTTCATAACACCCTACAAGCTCTACGTTTTTCGGCAGGAATTCAGCAAGTCCGCACGAACCTGCATATGCACGAAAACTAGAGCCAAACCCCGAAACCCCTAAACCCGATAAACCTTGAAATGCCAGGGCGCAATTCTTATTGCCTATGCCACAAAACCCTTGCAACGCTAGGAACCCTCGACCGCCCGGGCACAGTTCACACTGCCTAAACCCTACCTTAAGCCGGAATAACCTACCTTTTTAAGGATTTATATAAGGAAATCATAATAAGGAACCCTAAAAAGGTAGGTTAATCCGGCTTAAGGTAAACCCTGTAAACCCTAGAATGCCAGGGCACAATGCCTATGTCGCACTCCAATTGACCCTGCACCTGGCAGTCACGAGGACTCTCACAACTCGGATGCTGGCAACACGGAGTTTGCGAATTGTATATGGGCTTCGTCTTAGGGGTTTAAGTTTCAGGCTCCCTCAACTCCGAACCTTAACCCTATTCCAGGAACACAACATGACAACCACGACTCGGGGATCATGAAGCCGCCGGGTATAGGCAAACGTCAGACAAGTCCTACAGACATTATATAACCCTAAACACCTACGTAGTCCCGGTGTTCCAAACAAGGTTAGTAGAAGGTGTGCATTAGGGCTCTACTTGCAGAGTGGTACGATAAGGGGTACTACAAACTGGCAAGATACAGCAAAGTGTCGGGCTCTGAACAAGCACAGTTGCGCTCAAGGAAAATCAGGTGGTTTGTTTCGGGCTCGAGAATGAGTGCAGGGTCGCCACTGATGGCGTAACTGCTACGGAATAAATAGAAATTGTGTTTTGATAATCTATGTCTCTCGAAAGAGCCGGGAATCGTTCAAAATTTGTCTTATTGTTTGTTGTCACCTCTCTACCAGCAGGTGGCTATCAGGAGGATTTCAACCCAGCGAACACAAACGAATTACAATTAGAAGAGCCCTGTTCTATTTTGGTTTGTGATTTTGAAGCCTCCTATGCACCTGCAGAGTCAATCAATCCCTAGTTGGACCCAAAGACCATACAATGTAAGGCTTTTGGGCTATTTTGATCCCCAGGGAATGTTGGCACAAGGATAGGATCGGTTAGAACAATTAAGGTCCCCTTTGTGGGGTACCCGAAATAGTAGGTGCCGTATTATAATACCCGGATACATGGGCGCCAAAGTACCTATATAGGAACTACATTAAGGCCAATGTATATACTATATGAGTACATGGACCCTTAGGGATAGGGACCCCAAAGGGGACCATACTTAAAGGATCATGGGGCTAAGTAACTAAGGTTATTATTAGGGTAACTATACTAATAACTACTTATAACCCCAATTAGGGTACTTATAACCATACTTACTAAGTCCCATGATCCTCCAAGTACCCCTGACAACCACCCACATGAACAGATAATTGAGTTCAAGAGCACCCAGCCTGCTCTGTGTTCGCTCCTGCTTGGAGGTTCAGGGGTAGTTATAAGTAGGGTTGGGCCCTAAAGTAGGGTTCATAGGGGTCCTTTAGAGGGATCTATAGGGACTCGATAAGGGTATATGGTTTAGGGTTCATGGCTAGTTATAAGTAGGGTAACTATGCTTATAACCCATATTAGGGGGACTTATAACCCTACTTAAAGCTACCCCTGAACCTCCAAGTGCACAGGGTCGGGGCACGTTTAATGGTTGCTGACTTCAGGCCTTGAGCGGCAGCTGCAGACAAGAAAGACCCCCCAAACGTAAACCCTAGCCCTGTTCAACCGAACTGCCATACACAAGCATTGTGCATGTGGACTTCAAACAAATGTATATATAGGATTGCACCCTAAACCCTCAACCCTAAACTCGCAACCCTGAGCCCTAAACCAAAGCCCAAAACCCTAAACCCTGAACTCGAAACTGAAACCCTGAACCCTAAACCAACCCTCAAGTCGAAAATCGTAAGCTACACCGAACACTCCTAGGTCCCCTCGATGCTATGCAGAATCTCCGTGGTTCACACAGATTACATACTCCGCATGAACGGGCCTGAATGGTGGAAACAGGGTTTTGAGGTATATTTCACTTTCGGGAAAGAGTTTGGAACCCAAAAACAAAACGGTATAGATAGCTATTCAGGCCCCAATAGTACCCCTCCAGGCTGTATGGCAATGCAAATCGGTTTAGGGCTCACAAACGGTATCTTGATGTTGTGGCGTGTAAGTAACTTTCTGTAATCACGGGTTTCTGGGCCTCTAGAGAACAAGGCTGGCTGAAATTTTACAAATTTCGTGCTTGAGTTTCAGGGAAGCCCGGAAGATCTGATATCCGAAGCTTTGAGGCTCACTTGCAGGGAGTCATAGGGACCCTCAGGGGGGTAGGGGGAGGGGGGGTGGGTGGCTTTAATGCCTTTTGCAAGGACCAATAAAGGCCTATTTTATTTAAGGAAGTGTAGTCCCCTACATCCCTCCCCCCCCTACCCCCCTGAGGAGTAGCCGAGGTAAACAGTCTGGAGTTTAAATGAAGGAGCCAGCAGCTAGAAACGATTATCTAGGTGTAGTGCCATCAAATCTTACATAACTTGAGGCACTTCCGGATGAAGTACAAGAGGTGCATTGTTGATGGTCGGCTCCTGCGAAGCCCTGTAGCATAAACCGGTGCCAGGTCTAGACGTTTTGCAGAACCCCTTTCTGCAACCCGGTCTATTAAAGATCGAACTAAACCCAAACTAACGACATTGTAAAACAAATATAGCCTTATAGAGCAACCCTCAAAAGAGCCCTGGCGTAGAATCGTTGTAATTAAGCACCTTGTGAAGTCCTTCAAGGAACCCTGAAGCATACCTAGTTCCACGCTTATAAGCCCTTCCAGGAATCCCTGACAGGAGCCCAACCCTAAACCCAAACCCTAAGCCCGAAACCGTGCGAACCTGAGCCCGCATCGCCCCAGCAGATCACAGCTCCATCCACCCGCTGCGCCGCAAACGCGCGACGGGTGGATGAGAGAAAGCGGACCTCGAGGCTTGTTCTATACCCCCCTTAGAACCAAAATGAAAACATGCTCTCTTGGGGTTTTCTATGAACAAGCATTTAGAAGATTCCTAAGAAGACTATAGTATTTTTTAGGACACCAAAACAGCACATAAGCAATTTCGGATTTAGGGGTTTTCAGGGCTAAGGAACTCTAAACCCAATTCTGGGATTTATTTGCGTGCATAAGCATCAGTTTTCTACTCTTTGCTTAAGAACCCCCAAAAAATAAAAAATATATTCCTTATAGGGAAAATATAGGGATTATCATTTTTTATTTTTTGGGGGGTTCTTAAGCAAATAGTAGTTTTGTCTGCCTCTTAAGGTTGGGGCTTCGGGAGATAAGTGCTTCGGCCTCCGAGTGCAGGACTTAGGATTTAGGGTTCAGGATTTAAGGCTCAGAGCGGCGGGCGTCGTGTGGCTTTTCCCGCTTTTCCCTGTGCGTGAGCTTCAGGGATTAGGGTTTATACAGCTTTTGGCTTTGCTTTGTTGTCTGGCAGAGGATGCTCCCTCTGTGGGGTACCTTAGTTTCTGATTGTAGGATCCTAACCGTAAATAAGTCATCCCACCAAAACCTAAACCCCAAATGTAAGTGTCTGGTAGTCTTGAGGAAGACTTCGGATATCGGGTCCAGCATTGTGGGTGCAGGGCTTTTCGGGCTTCTGGCTGCGACGGGCTGCAGAGGCTCGAGGCTCGGGTGGTTGAGGATGTACGATGATGGATCAGGCTTCAGGGCCTTTCGGCGTGGGGTTAAAGTAAAAGCCAGAAAGTTGGAATCTGATTATCCTAACCCCTTTAAGGTAAATTATAGGGGGTCCTACCATTAATCCATATTCCAACTTTCTGGAGTTCCCTTTATGAGGTTGAAGTGCTTTTATTTTGGCTTGTACAACACCGGTATTCGGATGTATTTTCGTGCGTTAGGTTGGAGGGGATTCTGGAGCCAGACTTCCGCTCTTCTGGCAACATACTTCCGGCTATAGATGAACAGTATGTCCAACCCTTTTTTTCTCTCTCTCTCTCTCTCTCTCTCTCTCTCTCTCTCTCTCTCTCTCTCTCTCTCTCTCTCTAATCCCTTCATCCGTTTAATAAATCCCCCCTTAATATAAACACTGCCCCGGCCGAAAAAACAAAAAACAGTTTTGAACAAACAAATTCCCAAATGAGTAGATTCAAAAGCATGTTGAATTAGGGCCCAGGTAGGATCGGCATGAGGCGATTGGAACGAATCCCGGATTACCAGGGTAGGGCGGGCATTTGCAATTGGAACGAGGACATTTGGAGCAGGAACGCGGTGTTGGAGGGAGGTGCGAGGGGAGTCCGGATGTGGGAATTTCAGGGTTTAGCGGTCTAGATTTGGAATTCCCAAGCTAGATGTCGCATTTGGAATTGGAACGGCCGATGGAGATTTGGATATTCGCAGGCTGGGGCCATGAAAAACAACAGAATCTGTAATAATATTGGGGGGATTAGTTTGGACCGGGTGCGCATTGGTTTCTGCCCTGGCAAAGCCACCTGGGTGCGGATTGGTGCTTTTACTGACACCATCCACGGGACTTTAGGCACTTTCACTCGCCGTAGCCTGGGAGTTCCGGAATAAATATCTTGCATGTTCCATTACTGTCTCGATCCGGAACTCCCAGGCTAGGCGAGTGAACACACCTAGAACGTGGCGCGTGGCGTTTTCGGGGCTCCCAGGATAGGGCGGGTAGTTGCTGTCTCGAAACCGGAACTCCCAGGCTAGCGCTCTTTTGCCCTGTCCCATGCTTTTACTTAGCTGCATACCTTTGCCTGGCAGTAACATCCAAACTCTCGAATTTCGGAGAATCCAGCCTGAAACCACCCGAAATCCCCCAACATTAAAAATACAGGCACACAATCATTCCTCATTTTTTGGCTGTTTTATTAAACGGATGAAGGGGTTACACATATATACGATACTTGTTCTATATGTACACTTCTATACATGCACAGACTACGCATGTACAAATCATATGCCCGGCCTCAGTCAGCCGCTCGCAAAAAGAAGTGCAGCGCCCACCCCACTCGGGAACGCCCCAAGCAACCACGGAACCTCTCGGGGAATGGCCGAAGGGCCTTATGTGGGAGCTTCCGAAAACAGGGTACCCTAAATAATAGGATCCTTATTAGAAGGACCCCTAAATATGGGACCCCTAATTTTCGGAAACTCCCATGCGGGTTGTAGTTCAGGTACGGCATGCTCGGCAGAACATGCCAAACTACAGTACAAGACAAACTAACCAAGTGTTTCACAGCTGCCGCCATTTCGAACAACACGCTGATGTTATCATCTGGGCGGTTTCGGTGAAACAATAAGGCATGAGATACGCAGAATCAGGGCGGCACAGACAGCCTGAAGGCTTCCGAAGCACTTCCCCTGACCCCAATAACTCTCACACTATGGTTGATGATATAAATCCTGCATTACCTCAATGACCCTAAACTATGGGAATTATGGCAGATTCCTTATTATGGGTCATGCAGGATTACTATCATCAAAAGTCTCTTTTGTTGTCAGCTTCGTAACTTCTCATATCACCCTGAAGTTCCATGCAACCCTCCTCATCGGATCCTAAACCCAAAACCCCTAAACCCTAGACCCCAAATCCCCTAAACCCTGAACCCCTTTTCAAAGACCTAAACCCAAAGCCCTAAACCCCTACACCGTACACCCTAAATCCCCTCAACACCAAACCCCTAAACCCCTTTTCCCCGAAACCCCTAAACCCTCCCCTTATAGATCCCTTAAGCTGACCCCAAGTCTCCGAACCCCTACCCTAAGGCTCCATGTACCCATATAGTAGATACTTAGGCCTTAAAGTACCTATATAGGGGCCCCTTTAAGGCCTCAGTACCTACTATATGGGTACATGGAGCCTTTGGGCTAAACACTAAACTTCCCGGCCGTCAGCGCAAATGGCGGCAAAGGCCGCCTCCCCTGCAGCGATGCTCCGGAGACCGCCTGCACGGGTCAGCTAACAGTTTAAGGAAACCCTAAACCCTAAAAGTTTGGGGTTTAGGGTTTAGGTTTAGGGTTTAGGGTGTAGTTAGGGCTTGGGGTTTAGGGTTTAGGGTTCAGGGTTTCGGGATCAGGGTTTAGGGTTTCGGGGTCACCCAGTAAATCAAGGAGCCATAACCTACTCCAGACAAGCCTTAAGCGTCAGGGTTCTTCCGGAATCCCACATACCCAAAGGGTCCAAGTATCATTCTGGTATATACATATAGGGTATTTTGGGGGGCCTAAGTATATACCATGAGGATATTTGGATTCTTTGGGATATGATATCCTTGATAAGGGATACCTGACAGCAACGACCGATGAGTCTTGAGGCGCTAAACCCGAACAACCCTGAACAAGTGTTAAGCGCCTACCCAGAGGCCCCAAAGTAGTTCCTTTTTGGGAGTACCCTATTAGGATTCTATATATGAGCCCCAAAAAGGAACTACTTTGGGGCCTTAGGGTAGTAGGGTAGCACACATCAACATGGAACCTCGACAGGACCATCTTGTAAAGATCCATCAAATCGCAGCCCGCAGTCCCGAAATAAGAAGCCAAAGGGTCCAAAGTACCTTTATAGTAGAATGTCGGGTTTCTATATTAGGAATTACTATTATGATTTGGGGAAGTATCCCCCATAACAGTCCCAGAGGGTCCATATACATTACCATTATGGAATTAGGTCCCCCAAACCATAATAGGGATAGTCTTTTGGAACCTAATTCCATAATGGTAGTGTATCTGGACCCTCTGGGAGTACCTAGGACCCGCTGGCTCGTTTCACGCCTCGTCTCAGCACCTCCGCAGCTACGCCGATGCCTGGCTCTCACCGTTCCTTTACCGCGTTCGCCCTGAGTGGTCTAGGGTTTAGGAACGCCTGTACGGCGTGACAGCAAAAAAATCCGAAGGCGTTATCTTGTGAGAAATTTACGTAGTACTGCACTGCCAGGTCGAGTGTGTGTGTGTGTGTGTGCGTGTATGTATTTCTATATGTGTATATGTATGTTTATGTATGTATGTGCATATGTATGTACAGACATACATTGAATTATTGACTCATTCATCGGTTTGTTTACACATATGTCATGTAGGTACAAACTCGCAAACAAGCCAGGTCGCTGCTTCCACCGTTTCGAGCGTTGCCCCAGGTGACCAGGCTTCCTAAGGCAGGGCCATTGCAGGGCCCTAGCACCCACGGGTTTAGGGCTTCGGGTTTAGGGCCCTGCTTGGCTGCAGCTAGGAACTTGGCTCAGCAGATTAGGCCGCGGGCTTTAAGCCGTAGAGAAGCCCTGCTGAAAGCTCACTGCGGTTGCTTCATGGTTCGGGGCTTTACACGAACTCTTTACATGCATGGACAACCACAAGAAACCCTGCACTTTTTTTCAGGAAGAAAAACAGTCGGACATTATCTGGGATTTTACATAACCAGGGAGAAAAAGTACAGACTTTTATATCATGACGGTCCCCTTTAAGTACCCGTTGACAGGAAAAAGTATGAAAGCATGGTACCCCAGAGCCCTTATCCAGCATGGAGACAGGCAGAGGATCCAGGGGCTCGGCTTTAGCATCCCGGGCGTAGTATTTTGAATAGGGTTTTGGGGCCCATCATACTATATTTAAGTTAATGAATTAATAAAAGGAACCTCCAACATAGTGTTGGTAATTACTTGGGCTCCTAAATTAGCTACTAGGCATCGAATAGTCGTACAACCTTCCCAACATGTAATGTACTGCATGCAACTGCAAATCTACTACAGCCGCAAAGCCATGTGCCAAACTTCTGGGTACTTGGACTGGGCCGGACGCTTCGGTGCAATCATGCTTGGCTTATTGAGTGTTTGAGCCGACCTGAACAGATTCTTCACAGAAGCCCGCATAGAGTGACGAAACAGACCTTCCATTCCCGAATGGTCCTGGGTCCTAGGTACCGTTGTTGGGGGCTACTTTCCCAAACCATAATAGTCTACTGCAGAATCCATGCATTCTACCACTTAGTCACTAGGTGCTCAGGAGCCTTTGGGATTGCAGTTCCTTGTCTTGGCCGCCTGACCCATAGAAGTGGTTCCGGTAACCACCACGAGGAACGACCACCGGCTTTGGGGCTTAGGGTTTCGGGTTTAGAATTCAGGGCTTACTTGGAGGTCCATGGGTAGCTATAAGTAGGGTTATAAGTAGGGTAACTATACTTATAACCCATGTTAGGGGACTTATAACCCTACTTATAACTACCCCTGAACCTCCAAGTAGGGTTTGGGGTTTAGTTAGGATTTAGGGCTGAGGGCTTCGGACTTGGGGCTTGGGGTGTGGGGTTTGGGGCTTGAGGGTTCAGGGGTGTAGGGTTTAGGGTTTAGGGTTTAGGGTTTGGGGCTTTAGGGTTCAGGGGTGTAGGGTTTAGGGTTTAGGGTTTAGGGTTTGGGGCTTTAGGGTTCAGGGGTGTAGGGTTTGGGGTTTATGTGGCCGGGGCACCATCCTTCATGACAGCCGCAAAGGCCGAGTCAGTCGTGTAGATGTCCCTGTTGGCCGGACCCTACTTCCGAGTCTCTTGTTGTCGGGTTGTATGGTATTTGTCAAGTTTTGTCGAGGGTTTGTCGGCTCCTTGAGTTGACCTGCCGCAGACTATAAAGGCGACCCTACAACCCTAAAACTCGAAATTCCTAAACCATCTAATGCTACCCTCGAGAACCTTATATCCAAATTCCGAAACCACTTAGCCCTTCACCCTTAAGCCGTATACCCAACTTCATAACACTTCTCTCCGATCTCTCTGCGCCTTATTAACTGATTCCTTCCGCAACCTCCAACAGCCGGACTCCGAAGCATGCTCCCAGTCCCTACAGCTAATGTAGGGGCCGTAACAGGTGCAGTAGAGTTTGGAGAGGTATCTTGTAATTACCATATAGTCATAATGAAGAACCTGAAGGCAAAATCTTGGTACTTATTCAGACCGCTATATCAAGCCCTAAACCTCTGCCTGATGGCTTGCCGTCGAAGCTCACTTGCGACCTCGGTGTTACTCCAGCTGTGGTTATTGGTTTGGGGATGTTTCGCTTTTGTTCCACGGGATCCGAGTTACATGGTCGAATGCCGGGGCGTTTATATCAGGAATAATAAACACGAGAATTTGTGTACATACCACCCGCATAAATGGATATTTAGGGTCCCCTTACCAGCAAAAATGCACTGAACCTTGCACCCGAAGGTTTGGGCCTACCATTAACATCAAGATACGAAGTGCCATACTTGTGCAAGGAATCAAAATACCCTTGCGTGCTGGGCGATCCCTGCATCGTGACGAAGGGTAGCGCCCCCAGCTACATTTGCTGCTTGATTACAGATTGTCTTCTTAAAGGCCAATGGCCAGGAAGTAGTCCATCCAAAAGACGTACTACCAGTTATGGTCTATAGGCAGTAGCACAACACACACCGGCGATGGGCTGGGATTTAAACTAGATCTGGCCAACCTTGGAAAGAAGTTCCCCGTAGAATGCGGCAATGAAGGCTTAGAGCGTGACGGAACCGAAGCTGAATCTCGTAATTACACAAACCCTCATTACACCATCTACATTGCAAGACAACGCTGCTGCCTTGGGCACTGATGAAGGATCTGTCTCTGCTGCTGCAAGTTTAAAGGCCAAGTTTAACAAAACCCTGGATTACCTTTCCAACCCCTCAAGCTTAAGGGCTCAGGGCCCTAAAGTTAAACCCTAAACCTAAACCCCCTCAGCCCGAACCCTTCAAGATGTGAATCGGAGGCCTCAAAAGGTGGGATGAAGGTAGGTGGGATATTCCCAAATAAGAGTCCTTATATAGGGATCCTTAATCCTACCTACCTTCATCCCACCTTTTGAGGCCTCCGAGTGAAGGAGCAAGGCGGTCAAGGCACCCGCGATGCATCGCCGCCGTCAACGCTGGAGCCCCATGCAACGATGTCGCCATCCTGGGCTAGACCCAAGAGTAACCCAGGCATAAAAAGGATGCCCTTTTTTGGTTTAAAGGGGCTTATAAGGGAACCTGAACCCTAACAAAGGGAATAAGGGCCTACTCTGGGTCCTAGGGGGGGGACTGGTTGAGCTTCAAGCCGCCGAATGATGATTAATTAGAAGCCCATTACAGGTGGGTAGTTCCTCTTCCATAGTACTCCCATAAGACCCCTTTACCTTATAGGAGTGGTATGGAAGGCTTATGGGAGACTACCCACCTTAAAACTACCCACCTGTAAATGGCTTAGATTAATGGGAGTTAGGATTTGGGGGACCCTGTCACTAAGCTCCCCTTTTTTTTGAGAGCCAGAAGTAGGGCTGGGAGGGCTCCCGTTTAAGGGGTCTCCCTAAAACTACCTAGGGTTTAGGGAGTAGCCCAGTTTTAGAAAAGTTTTGTACCTCCACCATCCGCAGGGTTTCCTCATAAACCAGACCCAAAGAGCCCATAACGCCTTTTACTACAAACTACATGGTGTCCATGATATGACGCAGTATGTGGCTTTGCGTAAGCGCACCCCTAAACCACAAATCCTATACCCTAAGCCCTACCTGGACCCTAAGGAACCTGCCTTTTGAGGGTTCCCTAATATGATTTCTTTAGATAAGTCCTCAAAAAAGTTGGTTACTTGGGGTTAAGGTAAGCCCTAAACCCCCAAACCCCTAAACCCTAAACCCCCAAACCCCTAAACCCCTAAACCCTAAACCCCCAAACCCCTAAACCCAAAACCCCTAAACCCTACACCCAGTACAGGCCCTTCGGCCCTATGGGGCATGTTCAACTTCGGCGTTGCTGGGCGTGTTCTTGTGTCCTGGCCCAAAGGCTCCATGTGCCCATGTAGTAGGTACTTAGACCTTAAAGTACCTATATAGGGACCCCTTTAAGGCCTAAGTACCCCTTTAAGGCCTAAGTACCTACTATATGGGCACATGGAGTCTCAGGGTGGTTGCTGCATGTCGAAGTCGCACAGTTTACCTTCAGCAGGCAGGCGGAGATGCCTGCCGTAATTGCGCTCGTTGTTGGTCCATGTTTGTTTTACAAGCAGCATGGCATCCATGTGAGAAGTGAGACTTCTGCCTGGCCTTTGGTATTTCAATCGCTGAGCTGCTTGTTCGTAGCATCTGGGAGCGTATAGAATCCGTTGCATATCTACATCCCATGCTGTCTGCAACTCCTGGTCTTGCACCATATGTTCAGCGATAAGTTGTAAGGACAGCAGGAAGACTTACCACCTATGTGGCATTGTAGCGGAGTATTCATAATCCAGCCATGATGAAACTGCTTATTTCCTGTTGGGTCAGGAATCCAAACCCGGACGTGATACCCTAATCACTAGCTGTAGTCTCCAATGAAATCCGTTTTGGGGGCTACCTGGTACCTTCTAGGATCCTAACTACAAGACTGGATTAGAAACAAAGAAACCATAACGGAGACTTTACGTAACCCCCCCCCAATTCGATGACCTCAAGCCTAATCCTTACCCCACAAAGCCACCGGCGGGCCTCCTTGATCGCAACAAAGGCTCCTCGGTGAGGTGGTGAAGGGACGCCAGGGGACTTTTCTCTCTTGGGACCAGAGAGGTGCAACCGAAACTTAAACCCTGAACTAAACCCCTAAACCCCAACCCTTAAAAAAAACCGGACAGCGGGCCGATTCCTAAACTCACAGCCCTGAATGTTAAACCCTAAAAACATGTGCGCGAGCCACGACTCCTAACCTAACCTCTAAACCCTACAGGCCTAAAGCCATACCACTACCCCAAGAGCTTCGACAACTGAAAACCCGAAGCCTTGAACCCCTCCTCCAAGCCTTCCAAAAACCAGATGGAATCGAATAAGAGGGCTGGTGCAGGGCCACTGCGAAACCTGCATGGAGCCCGAATAAGGTCCCCTAAAACCCTCAATCCTGAAAACGAACCTTATGATAGCCATAGAGCACCCTTTACAGGAAACCCCAACCCGAAAACCCCTTAAGCCCTTAGACCCTGAAAAGGGAACCCTATGATAGAACCTGATAGAACCGTAGCCTCTAAAAGGGACCCCAAACCCCCCGAAAACCCCCTCCCCTCGGCCTTTGGTCGAGTAGATGTGCTGCACACCATCCCGCCTCGGCGCGAGGGTTTTACAGGGATCCATGCTTTGCTGCTTAGGGTTCAAGGGTCTAGGGTTTGGGGCTCGGGGGTTTAGGGTTTTACGGTGTGCTATTGGGCTATTTAGGGCTTCCTATGGTTTTGAAGGCTTTCCTCTGGTTTTGTTCGGTTGATGAGATTGATTGAGGGGGCTTAGGGGTTTTGAAGTTTGGGGGTTTTGCTTGAAAGGGGTTCCGGGTTGCAAGTCGAGACCTTTTGATTAAATGCATGGAGGGCTCTGGGATTTTAGGGTGTAAGTTTGCAGTTTTCCAGAGTTTCAACAGGGGGTCAGGGCTTCGCTTCCACTTGAGGGTTTCGGACCCTTAGCCCTATAAACCTTAAACCAGCTTTACAGGCTAATAATCGGATCTGAGGTGAGGTAGACACCAAATTGTAGGAATCTCAGTATCTTCTTGCTTTTGAAATGCCGAGCTCTACATGCTGAGGCTAGAGAATCTCAGCACTCGTCGCTTGTCACCCTACTAGATACATCATACATCTTTGCAGACTTTGAGCTTGACCAGCGAGCTCCAATCCTGACGCCTCCTGGAAAACTCCCTGCCCAGCCAAACCTTCCAGCATTCATGAACACCACCGAGCAACTGTTGGTCAGCTTTGACAAGCCCAGAGGCTCCATTATCCCTTAATTAAGGAATATACCTTAAATCATATTAGGGATCCTACTATAATTTAAGGTATATTCCTTAATTAAGGGATAATGGAGTCTCTAGGAGCTTTTAAGTCCAAGAGGCCCTCTCCTATCAGTCCTATCCCCACGCTCGGCGAAAGTCTGGGTAAAAACAACGTTGTAAGCCCCTGCGCCTACAAGCCCCACTGCCTAACCTTTAAGCCCCCATAAGACTTAAACTTCACCTACTTGGAGGTTCGTGGCTAGTTGCAAGTGGGGTTAGAAGTAGGATAACTACATGAGTTATAACCCATATCGGACTTACTAACTAGCCATGAACCTCCAAGTCCGGCAACCCAAAGCAGCCGCAGCACAATTGATCGGCCACACTGCCGCACTTTCCTCCCGACAGGCCTCCGGCAGTGAGGATCCAGGACTAGTAGGGGTAATGACAGCCTTACTGTTATGCGCTTGCTTTTGGGATAGATGATCCATTCGTGCATCGGCATTGAGGGAAGTAAAAGCCTAATTGCCACTTGGAGCTTCAGATTAGTAATTGTGGCTGACAAAGCTTGGGGAGAAGTGGGCAACCTTCCGGACATTTACGCTCAGGAAGGACATGTCATGACATGTAGGTACATGAATCTACAGATAAGACTATAACACCATGTATAATTTAATATGTACACAAATATGAAGGATACATACCTGCGTATGTATCCACAGGTGTGTGCGTGCCGGTATGTACATATATATATATATACACACACATGCAAGGTGATGCATGTGCGTATGAACCTATCTATATACATGTATATGTATATGTATATACATACATTATTATATACATACATATGGATATACGCAGACAGTTCTGTAGTACAGAGAGAGATGGTGCGTATGATAGGCATACTCCTGTTCATCAACTTAAGCCGCTGCAGCCTGAGCGTCGGCGTTAACCATTAACCCACGTCGGCACACGAATCCAGCTGGGAGCAATATCAAATCAAAGCCATAATCAGACAAGAAGGTTTCCCGTGTAAAGTCCTTACAATGTAGAAGCCGATGAACATCACCTATAGTCTGCATTGTAATTCCTGTCCCGACATAAAACTCTTTCAATCAGGTGAAGGAAGCGCCCTGGATACTGTAGTTCCTCTTGGGGATACCTTTTATGACCCTATACGAACCTAGAGTTTGTCAACCCCCAAAAAAAGAATCACAAAGGAGACTATAGGTTCTGGTTTTGGGGCTTACTACACTATAAAAACTATAAAAAAAAAGAACCCATTTAGGCCCCTATATTATGGAACCCTACTATACGCAGATCCCTGATATGTCGCTTTAATTTCAGGTTCCCTTTCAAGGACGGGTCGTGGCCAGAGACTCCAAAACCCCTTAATTAAGGAATATACCTTAAATCATATAAGGGATCCGACTATAATTTAAAGTATATTCCTTAATTAAGGGGTTTTGGAGGCTCTGGGTGGCAGACAGAAGCCTTCTCCCCAGGTCACCACGGCCCCACTTCGCTTCAGCGCAGCGAAAGCGCGAGACGAGGAGAAAATGAACCTCGGGTCTGCCGCTCGCAGTGCCGGGTATCCCTTAACCCTAAGGGTCCATGTACCCAAATAGTAGATACTTTGGCCTTAAAGCAGTCCCTATATAGGTACTTTGGGGCCTATGTATATACTATTTGGGTACATGGACCCTTATGGTAAGGGTTCCTTTAGGGGATTCTGAAGGCTTCTTTCAGGGGATCTACAGTATAGGGTTTAGTCTGGGGCCCAGAGACTCCAATATCCCTTAATTAAGGAATATACCGTAAATACATGCAGGATCCTTAATATGATTCACGGTACTTTCCTTAATTAAGGGATATTGGAGTCTCTAGTATGGGGCAAGGGGATCTCTAAATTCAGGTCCTCTTTAGCATCCTTATATAAGAGTGAAGTGCCCTTTCGGCGGCCCAATACGGGAACATCAAATCTGTGGAACTCTCGGCAACTGGAGCTCAGCTTCCGATAGCGATGCCAAAAGCAAAATCCAGTACGAACCCCTTCACGGCAGCTGAAACTTAAGTTTAATAACAAGCCCGAAACACCTTAAAGTTGAAATCCTAGTCCTGGCCCATTGCATGTCCGACCTTTCAAACCCGAAACCTCCATGCATGGCAGTTGTTCTCAGGTTTGGGATTGCTGGTCAGGGCTTGAGACATAACTTGGGACGTCGAGGCTTGGTGGCCTTCCCAACACCGGAAACCACGGCTCCAAGTAGTCGCTTCGAAAGGTATTGACACCGAAGCCTCCTCGACGCTCGCTGTGGCAGCGGGGCTGATTCTCAGAATTAGTGCCCAGAGACTCCAATACCCCTTAATTAAGGAATATACCTTTAACCACATTAGGGACCCTACTAAAATTCAAGGTATATTCCTTAATTAAGGGGTATTGGAGTCTCTGGGTGGATTGTTGTTGACGGGGGGCTGTACGGTGGCTATCCTTTGTCTGCGGTCGCTCAGGGTCCATGTTAATTCCTGTCCTTTCTTTCCCGCTGTATTCTGAATCTCCTGATGAATTTTGATTGAGGGCCCGCAGGGCGGAGGGTTGAAGAGACTCACCCTAAAGCATCCTTGGGTGTGGGGTTTAGGGGCTTAGAGTTGAGGGGTTTAGGGCTTAGGGTCACAAACCCTTCAAAACCCTAAACTAGGCTTCGTCGTTGGCTGTCGGACCAAGCGACTCAACTTCCGACTGTAGCTCTTTCGCAGCCTCACATCAGGGCCGAATGCTTTGAGAGTCTTATGTGGTTTGCTATGATTTTCCCGATTCCGATAAGATTTGAAATATGGGATAATTTCTGGGTTTATGAAACATTGTAGGATCAATATATGGATCCATCGGCTTCTATAGGGGTAGGGCATAGGTTTTGGGGTTCAGGGCTAAAAATGTCTGAGCTTGTAAGCTGCATTCAAGGCGTCAAGTGATTATATAGGCTCCTCTTAGGCCCAAGAAGGGAAACTATGAAATATTGTGGGTGGTTCTCTAAATTAGGGTCCCTTCTTGGTCACCAAGAAAAGCAGAGCACCTCATAAAAAGGTTCTTTAAAAGGGAGCCCCCCCCCCAATCTAGAAAACGACCCATCTGATTCTAGGGTCTGAACTCACTAATGTAGAAGCCTAACTAAATGATTACCTATATTCTTCGTTGGGGTTCATTATTATGATTATAATGTTGACCTCATTTTTAGAATCCCCCCGAATTTACAAAACCCCACCGCTGGAACTCAATTATAAACACCCCTCTATTACTAAACCCCCAGCCGGGAACCGACAAAAAACAACTTCTTGTGCCTTTAGAGGCCAGGAAAAGGACAGCAAGCTTTAGAAACCAAGCGACGACGGACCCCCCTCCATAGTCAATCCCCCCTACCCGGGGCCAGCAATCAATCGAGACGGGGGTTATTAATAGGAAGTCAACATTATCATAAAGGAGCCCGAAACCCTGGTATTTTAGAGACCTACCCTTACTGAACCTTTGTAGTTACCTCCAAGAAACCCTTATAGATCCCTTTTAATTTTAATGATACCCAGAAAGGAGCGCAAACCCTTAGCATTTTGGAGCTCTAAGACTTCACCCTAAACCCTAACCGTCCCTAGCCCGTGTGGCACGTCGTGCCAGGCGCACCCTGGATGACGATGGTCCTGATTGGGTCACTTGGCTGATGAGGACCTCGAAAAAGTGCGGCGCCGTTGTGAAGGGAGGGCGGAAAAAGCTCTTCACAAACACTGGTAGGGAGACGTGCGCCTCGTTCGCTGGCCTTCGAAAACGCCTTGGAGAAACGAAAGGCGGGCGAAGCACGCAGCTGCCGATGCTGGATGGTCTGGCTGCGAATCGCACAGCCTGAGCAAAAGCAGGACTGAGTGTCGGCGCGCTCGGCACGCTCTGCTGAGGAGACGCAGGATTGATGTCTGTCGGATAGCTCTGAGGAGACGTCAGCTTCACCCTAAAACCCCAACTCCTAAAACCCTAGACCCTAAATCCTAAACCCTAAAACCCTAGACCCTGAATCCTAAATCCTAAAACCCTAGACCCTAAACCCCTATAGATCCCTTAAGCGGGAACCCTAAAAAACCCTAAACCTTAAACCCTAAAACCCTAGACCCTAAATCCGAAACCCTCAAACCCTAGACCCTAAACCCCTGTAGATCCCTTATAGATCCCTTACAGGGAACCCCTAAAAACCCTTAACCTTAAACCCTAAAACCCTGAACCAGGTCGGTGCTGGACTGACGACTCCCCCGGCCTCCCCGGGATCTCCACCAAAGAGCTGGTCCCCCCAGCAAACCACCGAGCCTTCGATGCTTTCTCCATGGGGCTTAGGGGTTTAGGGGTTGAGGGTTTAGGGTTGAGGGTTTGGGGTTTAGGGTTTAGGGTTGGGCCCCTAGAAACCCACAGAAATCGCACGAAACGTCTTCAAACCCTAAACCCTACCTTAAATCTGCGATGAGCGGCCGTCGCTACACAAAGCTGCGAAGGCCCGATCCGTGTGGAAGATGCACTTGACCTCACAACGTCAAAGATACGCACCTACATAGTCGAAGGTTGGGCTTGCATCGTCGGAGGTACTATGATCGTTTAGGCAAGCATCCTTTTCGGGACGATAAGACTACAGATGTTGAAAACGAACTTGGCGCTTGATGGCCAGTTTTTCGGCTCCAGCGGCTTGGGACAATAGGGGCTTAGGGGTTCCGGGATATCGACATGCAGACTAGGAGCTGAAAAGGGTATATGTCAGATGCTACATGGACAAGCCTGAAGGAATGGAGAAAACGAGGAATGAGTTTACAGCTAAACCCTACAAAAGAATAGATTTGGGTGGTTTGGCCGCCTTAATTAGACGGCCTTGGGTGGGAGAGATAAAGAAAGAGCCCTCTACTGTCGAGCTGCAGCTGCTACGACCCACTCGAAATTACACAGTCGCAAGATGTTTCCGCTTATGCGCCACTCTACGGTAAACCGTCAACCCTAAACCGTAAGCCGCAGACCCTAAACCCCTAAATCCCAAGCCTCAAAACCCCAGACATAAAACCCTAAAACCCTCAACCCCAAAAACCCTAAACCCTAAACCCTAAACCCTAAACCCTAAACCCTAAACCCTAAACCCTAAACCCTATAGAGTTTAGAGGCTTTAGGGTCCTAGACCCTAAACCATGAAAACCCTAAACCCCATAAAGCCAACGAGGCCTTGGAGAGCTGCGCTGGGGTCCGACCACCTCGGGATTAGCCCAGAGACTCCAATATCCTTTGATTAGACCTTAGGGTTCCTTAAAAGGATCTATAAGGGCTGTATGGGGGAACTAAGGAATATACCTTAAATTATGGTAGGATCCTTAACCTGATTTAAGAAATGCTCCTTAATTCAGGGATATTGGCATCTCTGGGAGCAAAGCTGTTGAAGTGATAGGCAGGGTCGAGGGTTTCGGGCTTAAGGCTTAGGGCTTCGGGCTTAGGAAAATGGCATTAAGGCTTAGGGTTTGCATTAGTGTACTTGCTATCTAAGAGCCTTTATCCGACTGGCTTCGGGGTTTCACAGTATATGTAGGTCTTCTATATACTTATAACTGTATGGACCTGGGCATAAACGGAAGCTACTTTTAGTTTTAGTCTGATCGCCATATCCTACTGAACAGAACCAACAGTCATGAGAACGATCTGCAGATAAGGCTGCAAAGCTGAGCTAGGTTCCTGGATAGCCCCGTTACAAGAACACCACCCTTTCTCCTGCTAGTCGGCTTTAGAAGAAAAACCCAAAACCAAAAAGGGCAAACAAATACTACACAGGAACCTATAGTATTAAGCTGAAGCTCAGGCCTCAGAAATTGGCCTTCAGGGTTGACGATGTAAGTGCTACAGTCCTCGACGGTTCTATAAGCACCCCTACAATCACAGGGGGGTTTCCGAATTTAGGGGTACCGTATTTTGGGGTCCTTATAATAAGGATCCTACTATGTAGGGTACTATGTTATGGTCCCCTATTTTCGGAAACTCCCACACTGCTCCCGTCAACCCCACCTGTCGCTGCTGCGCCCCAGCAGCTGACGGTTCCGTCTGCCTGGAAAGATGTGCCCCAAAGGCTCCATGTACCCATATAGTAGGTACTTAGGCCTTAAAGGGGCCCCTATAGAGGTACTTTAAGGCCTGAGTATCTACTATACGGGTACATGGAGCCTTAGGGTGCGACACCAGCAGCAGCAGTTTGTGGGTTTCCGAAGAGTGCGGGGGCTTCAGTATGAAGGGCTCAGTGTGATACATACCCAGAGGCTCCATAGTAGTTCCTTTTTGGGGTTCATATTAAGAACCCTATAAGGTAATCCCAAAAAGGAACTACTATGGAGCCTATGGGTAGAGTGTTCGACCATGGATGGGCCGTACCTGGGACCTGCGATCATCGACACTGGAAGGTCCGGTTTGCGACTGGAAGCTTTCAAGATGTAGGGCTACCAGCTTTGCACAGTTCCAGAAGCTGTCACGGCTGAGAAGTGCATGGAGAAGATCTTCGATACTCCTGCAACTCTTCTGACTTGATAATGGACTGGTGGATCGCTCAGTTTGTTCAGGTTTCTGAGCCCCTTCTCTCCGAGTTCAAGCCCTGCTCGCCTTCAGGGCTGCGAAAGCAGAGACATGGGCTGTGATCTCCACGACGCCTGACCTGGGATTGAAAATCTTACCTGTGGTTAGTAGGAAATGGAGGAATGGGGTACAGTTATAACTACTATTACTACCATTCTTCCATTCCCAACTAACCAAAGGTAAGATAATGTACCCTAAACCCTAAACCCTCAACCGAGGGGCCTTTGGGTACAGTAGTTTTTGTTTGCTCATAATAAGGAGCCCCGGGGAACAGTATCGGGTAATCATTCAGGTTTCTCTATTAGGTTGGGTTTAGTTTTGGATCTGATTACCTGGGATCATCCATGTACTTATTCCTGTGAAACCTAGTCGTATATCTAGTAAGGAAAGTATGGCAAGCAACGAAGTTGAGACTGAGAGTAGTTTGAGTTGTGGCTTTGGGCCTTGGGCGTTCCGATGTGACCAGAGAACATCAAGCAGGTCTAAAGGTTCAGGGTTCAGGGTTCAATCGGTTGGGGTACGGGCCTGCTGCAGCAAAGACACTGCGAAATGAAATCCACCAGTAGCTAGAACCACCCATCTACCTGAAGCTAGCTCAGTGCTGAATCTGGTTTCTGAGCAGTGAACTCTCAACCTCAAATTCTGCACGGCAAACTCGAAACCCCAAAGCACACTGCCACGGCATGGACCTAAATGTGGGAACGGGGTTTTAGCATGAAAGATCTGAGTGACGTGAAATTGTGAAGGTCGTTGAGGATCATGTCGTGTTATGCTAGTGTACTTCATCTTCTATGTTCTATCACCTTAATTTACTGAGGTTAAGAGGGCATCAAGCTTATCACCCACTGCGGCTGTAAACAAGTTGACATCTCTTGATTGAGTTTGGGAAAGATACCTCTTCCACTGCAAACCCCTGTATTATGAAACTGCGAACTCCCAGAACGGAACAGCAAAAGGAATTGAAACCCAGTCGACAACCCATATGCTTCATCTGGTCGAGTCCGCTGCTGCAGCTCTTCGCCGCCCTCAACGATGTCGTCTCCTGCTGGTGGAATCGAACCGAGCACGCAAGCTTTAAGCCCTTGCTCTGCACAGGGGTCTCGGAATGAAGATCATGTGGGGGCCTATGTCGCGCACACGCACACACATACACACACATACAGATATATAACTATATTACACATCTATACATGTACATATACATATATGTATACAGATACATACATATATATCTATATACACACACTTTCATATGCAGTATACAATAACTACACAGGGCCTCGACGACTCATCATTCCGGCCCCTACATCATGGTGGTTCTGGAGTCAATCCCACAGGCGGAGCAGTCCCTGAGTGAGGCAGCCTGTGATACTGCTCCTGGACAAAATCCTGCATTACCCATTATAAGGACTACCATAGTTCCCATAGTTTAGAGTCCTTAGGGTCATGCAGGATATTGTCCATCAGCAGTATTAGCTGATTCTCTTTAACCCAGAGGGTCCATATACATTACCATTATGGAATTAGGTCCCCAAAACCATAATAGGGATGGTCTTTTGGGACCGAATTCCATAATGGACCCTCTGGGTAATGTGAGGCTTTGGTCTTCAGTTCTGGTGATACTCTGTACCCCCTAATGGTGCAACGAATATTGGCCACCGTCATTGTTCAGCTTCACTTTCGTTGCTAATGGCCGAGGTCATACTAGGATTGGATGCCCTACTTGGAGGATCATGGGACTTAGTAAGTATGGTTATAAGTCCCCTAATTGGGGTTATACGCAGTTGTAAGTATAGTTGCTCTAATAATAACCTTAGTTACTTAGTCCCATGATCCTTTAAGTAGACTGTAGACTGCTGGCACTGATGACACGAAGCCAAGGAACACTAAATGGGGGACAACTTCTGAGACTCCAATATTGACAAGTGGGCCAACACAATTGGGAACTCCAATGTATGGGTCGAAACTGCGTGCACTTCATTCAGGATCACTTTAGTCTTTGGGGACGGCCTGGAAAAGAGTGTGCAACAGGGATGCGGAACTTACCGCGGCGGGAAGTACAATATGCGCAGGCTTCCATCCAAACTTCGCTAGCAACCGCATACCTTATAGACCTTGGCAATTCCATGCGCTGCACCGGCCTGCTTGCACTTGTGAACACCCGAAACCCCATGTCCTCAACAACATCAAAGTAAGATGTCCCCTCGAACCTGCACCCAATATCTCCCACACATCCGTCTCTACTTCCTGAAGCCCTAACAGCGCAGCAACACCAAAATAAGTCCCAAAACTGCACGACCTCCTAAACAGCATCTGCTCGCCAAAGCCCTCAGGCACCAAAGCCCTGAACTTTCAGAATCCTCAAGCCCCCAAACCCCCAAAGGGTCCTAGGTACTGTTATGGGGAATACATCCCCAAATCGTAATAGTATTTCCTAATATAGAAACCCTACATTCTACTATAAAGGTACTTTGGACCCTTCGGGACCGAAACCCAAAGATTACCTGGACCCTCCTAAACCTTTCTGAGGGTTCCCCAGCATGATTTCCTTAGCAAAGTCTTGAAAAAGGTAGGTTATTTGAGGTTACCCGAAGGCTCCATAGTACCTGAGAGGATTCTATATATGAACCCCCAAAAGGAACTACAGAACCTTAGGATAAGGTATAGATAGAAACAATTTCAAACCTGCAGATTGATATCCTAAACCTCCAAAAGCTCGCAAGGCGATTCCCCGAATCGCCAATCAGACCCAACACTCCTCAAAGTCCACGGGGGCTCCTGAAACCCTAGAAACTTCCCAGACCTCAAACCCAAAGGGTCCTAGTTGCTGTTATGGGGGATACTTCCCCAAATCATTACCTCTTACCCAAAGGGTCCTATGTACTGTTTCGGATACTTCCCCAAATCATCATAGTAATTCCTAATATTGTTTCCCGACATGCTACTATAAAGGTACTTTGGAATGTTTGGGACAGCTTATAAGGCACAAACCTCAATCATGTGCCCTACAAAAAGATTTTGGAGCCCTTAACATGTAACCGTCCGGCACTGACAATAGAAATAGAACCTCTAGCAAGTGCCAATCAACAACCAAAAAACCGAAGCCGTATACCCCATCCCCTAAGCCCTCAGCCCTATGGCTTAAGCCCTATACCCTATACCCTAAGCCCTATACCCGAAACTTAAGGGCTCTTTAAAAACCCCGAAACTCAAAGCCCTTAAGCCTTGAGAGTGGCGCCTGGTTTCGGATCGCGGCCCCAGGTCGTGACGGAGCCCGCAGAGAGCGCGGCAAAGGATCCGGAAGTCGCCGCCAGCTCCTAGGGCTCTTGGGTTTAACGGGTTAGGGTTTAGGATTTATAGGGATTACCTTAATCAATGACCCTGCACCATGGGCATTACGGTATATTCCTCAGTGTGGGTAATGAGAAATTTGCATCATCAACCGTAAGGGCGTATACAGCAGACCTTTCATAGTATCCCTTGAAGTAACCCTCCAGAATGTCCGGAACGGGCATCTGCGGTGCGATCAGCACATCTCCACATCGCAAGCCTGGACAGACAGGCTCTCGAATAGACCCGTACTCCCCCTATCTTCCGAAAAGGGTCCTTTAAGGTTCCTTTAAGGGCTACTAGAAGGGATCACTAGGGTTTAGGGTCTAAGGGTCCATGTGCCAACATGGTAGATACTTTGGCCTCAAAGTAGACCCCGAATAGGCACTGTAAGGCCAAAGTATTTCCTATATGCGCACATGGACACTTAGGGCAACTTCCCTAGGCAAGGAATATTCTGCAAATCGAATGACACCGAGTTATGCTTTAAAGAAACCCTCCATAGTGATAGCCAGGTGCCATATCGGGGAAGGGGCACTGGACGCCCTGGATTCTGGTTCAGCCTTGAAAGGGTTGGCGCTCTGGCTGCTTGTACTTGCAGGCAACTCCAAACACTTGGAGCATTGGATACCGGTATTGATTTTCGGGCTTATCTCAGAGGCAAAATAGTGACCAATCGGTTGAACCAAGAAACGGCAGAAACAGTAGGCATAATTTAATAGATGGTTTTCAGGTTTTCTACAACTGCTCTTGAGGACATGAGGGTAACAATGTTGAAAACGTTCTGGCAGCTTTATAGAGTCCTATAGAGAACGCGTACATATGCATGAATGGGAGTTTCCGACAATTACGGGCACATTGTTTTGGGGTCCTTCAAACAAGGATCCTACTACGTACGTCGGGTACTATGTTTTCGGTCCCCTATCTTCGGAAACTCCCATATATACATACAGATGTATCGACGGAGATAGCTGGGTGCTGGGATGTAGGTTCCCAGAAACTCCAATATCCCTTAATTAAGGAATATACCTTAAATGATAGTAGGATCCCTAATATGATTTAAGGAATATTCCTTAATTAAGGGATATTGGAGTCTCTGGGTTTACCCCTCCAAGCCTGTCCAGTCTAAGCCCGTGCCCGGAACCCTGCTTGGAGGTTCAGGGGTAGTTATATGGGTGGCTGTCAAAATTAGGGTCCCTTTTTGGGTACCCTAAATACTAGGTGCCGTATCATAATACGGACCCACAGAGTGACCATAACTTGACAACCACCCATATATAGTAGGGTTATAAGTCCCCTAATATGGGTTATAAGTATAGTTACCCTACTTATAACTACCCATGAACCACCAAGTGCGGCCCGGCAGCCCTATGTCAAGCAGTCAAAACCTACTTCTGAGGTGAATACTCTGCTGGCCGGGCCACTTCTTCTCGACTTTGGTTTGGGTACTGCCCCCGTACGGTAACAGCCTACAATAGGGCTACTATGAAGGTCCGAATATATCTATTATTATGAACATTATTCAACTGTAACTGAGTGGGGGCAGTAGTAACCCAAGGACTAGCTCATTATGGCTGTCACATGAGACAATGCCTTCACCTCCTTGTCACCTCGCCTAAACTCTGAACCGTGCATGCGGCTCGGAAACGCCTCAATCTCCACCCGCTCTGCTTGGCTAAGCCCAAAGAAACCAAAGACCAAAACTCACGACCCTTTACATCCAGAATTCTAGATCCCAAAACTAATCAAAAAGACTATATAATTAGACTAAAACAAGACCTATAACCCCAAAACAACACTATGTGTGAGACCCCTCATCCCCGAATAATTCAACTCTTTGCAAAACACTACCCCGACAGGAGCAGGGGTAAAATCAACCCATAATAACAATCTACAGCCCCGAGCTCCACAAATCCCGATGACTGCGGACAACCAGAAGTGGCCGCCCGTCCCTCCCCTCCCTCCGCTCGCCAGACCAAGAACACAGAGAGAGAGAGAGAGAGAGAGACTGATGCAACCAAGACCAAAATCCGTCCAAGCAAAGACACCATAGTTCCAAATCTCCAAGAAGATGTCCCAAACTTGCCTAAGACGTAACCTCCCAGCCGTAAAGCTTCGAGCCTAAACACTCAACCCTAAACTCTGAACCCTAAACCCTACATCATAAACCCTGAACCCTATGGTATCCCGTCTAATCAGGGAACCCTATTATAGATCCCTTACAGACCCCTTCAACTTTAAGGATCCCTTCAAAAGGAACCCCAAAAATGGTATCCTAAACAAGCCTGAACCCTCAACCCTCGGCCCCTAACCTGCTCGCCGCAGGCTCAGTCCCGGCCGCAAAGGCCGCGCCCCACGGGGCGAAATCAGCTGAGAACTCGGAGTTTAAGCGCTTGTATAGTGTGTTCGGGCTTAAAAAGGTTTTACTGTTGTTTTTTGTTTTAAGGTTTTACGGGGTCTAGGGCTTGGGGCTGAGAGTCTGAAGTTGCAGGGTCTAGGGTTTGTGGGCTTGCAGTTTAGGGTTGCGATTTAACGCGATTTCAAACACCCTACCCTAAGACTCCATGTGCCCATATAGTAGGTACTTAGCCCTTAAAGGGGTTCCTGTGTGGGTACTTTAAGGCCTAAGTACTAATATGGGTACATGGAGCCTTTGGGCTACAGACTGGGGCTTTGCTTTTGGTAGATCTGCGCCGATCTGTGCCTCTCAGCTCGGCGCTTGGGGTATGAATCTTCGTGCTGGGGTTTAGGGTTTAGGGGTTGAGGGGTTTAGGGGTTTAGGGTTTAGGGGTTTAGGGTTTTAGGGTTTAGGGGTTTAGGGGTTTAGGGGTCTAGGTGTTTAGGGGTTTAGGGCTTGGGGTTTATAGGGTTTGGGCGTTAAGAATTCGAGATTCTGCCCGATTGGCTGTCCCGGGTTTCGTAGGTAGGGCCATGGTCGGTCAATGCATTTGGAAAGACAGGCTCACGGGGACTCCCCGGAATTATGGTCTTGGCTACAACCCCCCTAAACGGAAGCTAGACTCTAAACCCTAAACCCCGTACACCCTAGACCCTAAACTCTATAAACCCTAAACCCCCTAAACCCTAAACTCTTAACCCTAGACCCCCTAAACCCTAAACCTTGAATAGACACGACTACCTATCAGCCAAAAAATGTCAAAACGAACTCCAAGGCGGCCCGGGAAGCCTCCAGCCCACACAGCTGAAATGCTTGCAGTCTTAGGGCTCCTTCTCTCAAAAGGGAAAAGGAGGGACCCTTAATGGGGACCCCTACCCTATAAAGGGGGCTATACAATGGGTGTATAATAGCTATATTAAGGGTATATACCTATAGGGGTCCTTATTAAGGGTCCCTCCTTTTACCCTTGGATTTTCATGATTCCGCAGAAAACAGATGTAGATAAGCAATACTTATTTTAAAAAACCAGTTAAGTGCAGTAAAGTCAAAGTAAAAGTGAAATCAAGTAAAGTAAACATATATACAGTAGAAGCCAGAAAGTTGGAATATGGTTTCAGGGTAGGATACCTTATAATTTATCATAAAGGGTTAATAGGATAATCATATTCCAACTTTCTGGCTTTTACCTTAGCTCTTCTGGGAGAGGGGCGACGGGGTGCACCAGATCCGAAATGCTGGATGCACTGACAAACTAAGAGCCTCCAAAACCCCTTAATTAAGGAATATACCTTAAATTATAATAGGATCACTTATATGATTTAAGGAATATACCTTAAATTATAATCTAGGATACCCAGTAACCTAAGAATAAGAAAAGGCCTCTCTTTTTGGTATTGGGTAACTTTATAAGGGACCTAGGACTACAAAAAGGGAATAAGGGTACTACTGGGCATCCTAGTAATAGGATCCCTTATATGATTTAAGGTATATTCCTTAATTAAGGGGTTTTGGAGGCTCTGACAAACTAAGAGCCCCAGCACTTTGTCTCGATCGCGAGGAAGGATGGCCGTCTTCGTGATGCGGAGCAGTGCGGGCAGGTCCTTCGGGCTTGAGATCTGGCTGTCCCTCGCGCAAGGAGCTAGCTCGCTCCGGAATATGAGATAACTATATATTCGATTTATGGAAACTAACAAAAATCAAGATTCACAGAATCAATACATGAATGAATGCATGAATGATTTAATGAATCAATGAACTAACGACTGAATGAAAATACTGTATAACAAAATGGTATAAAATAATATAAAATCAACCACAAGGGAGTAATACAAGCAGCCCTAATTAAGGACCTAAAGCGGTTTGAGGTTTAGAGTACAATTAAGGGGGTTGTTGAGCAGGGTAGCTAAACACTAAAACCAATATGTTAGAACAACCCGATTTGTCTTTCACGTTCTCCTTGTCATGACTCGGTTTCAAAATCAGGGGTCGAGGGTTCACGCATTGGAACGTGTTTGCAAATTTGGGTCTGCTTCTGCGGTTTAGTGCAATTTTGAACTTTCCGTGGATTGAGGGTTTTCGGGTAGTTTGTGAAGTTCCAGTAATATTACCCCAGAAGGGTAACATGTTGCCCACTGGGCACCTAAAGTTCCAAAAGATTGCCGTTACGGGCGGATGGTGGGTTAGAAGCTTGTCGAGAGCCGTGGTGCCACAGTCTGTTGCAACAGGCCCGTGTACCCTAAACCCCTAATTTAGGGGCCTTTATGATCAGAATATGCTTTTCGGGCCCATTGTACCATAGTTACAATAAAGAAGCCCCGAAAATGGATTAAGGCCCCTATACTAGCCCCGTGTACCCGAAGCCCCTAGACCCTGAACCCTTGTAGGATGCGCCCCTCTAAGAACACCAAACACCCTAAGACTCCATGTACCCCTATAGTAGGTACTTGGCCTTAAGGGGTCCCTATATAGGTACTTTAAGCCATACGTACCTACTATATGGGTACATGGAGCCATCGGGACAAAGACGAGTCCTCTTTCTGATCCACCGAGATCTGGACCACGGCCAGCCCTGCCGAAGAGCACCAGCTCTGAAGGGAATGGGCGAATGGCCTTAGGGTTCCTTTAAAGGGACCCTTTTTAGGGATCCTATAAAGGGATCTATAAGGGGTACCATAAGCTATCTGGTTCTTGGTAGGGAATGGAGGAATTGGTTATTGGGACTACTATTGGGGATTTATAGGGTAAGGATCCATTCTCTCATTCCCTAGTAAGCACCAGACAGATGGGCTTCTTAGGGATACAAACGGGGTAGGGTTCAGGGCTCTACGGTTCTAGGGTTGAGGTTTCTGGGAATTAATGCTGTAGGCTTTGGGGTTTAGGGTTCGGGGTTTACGGCTCAAGGGCTTTCGAGTGCTGCGGCTTATATAGGACCAGATAAGATGTTGCTGGTGTTGCAACGTTCACCATCAGCATGCTATCCCAGTGAAGTCGTGGTTTCCTGATGCTACGGTTGATGATATATATATATATATATATATATCCTGCATTACCAACAATAAGGAATGTACCAGAATTCCCATAGTCTAGGATCCTTAAGGTAATGCAGGGTTTATATCATCAACCGTAGCATCATTTCTCCTGTCGTCAACAACTCATTGAACATGCAAACAACGGGAACGATTCACCCTGTAAGATGAACCCTAAACCCCTACTGCCTAAACCCTAAACCCTCCTGCCCTAAACAGAGTCCAGGCACAAAGGCAACTACAAACCCTAGCCCCAACTGGGTCCGAACCCGAAGCAACTTGGCGTTTGGGGTTTCAGAGTTGGGTTTGGAAGGCAAAGGCTATTGCTAGACCCAAGAGTAACCTAGGAATAAAAAGGGTGCCCTTTTTGGTTTAAAGGGGCTTCTAAGGGAACCTGAACCCTACAAGAAGGGAATAAGGGCCTACTCTAGGTCCTAGATTAGGACTGGCAGCACAGTGAAGTGATGCGAATCGTGTCAACCCTAAACCCTCAACACTAAGTACCTCAGTATCCAAGGAAAGACATACCCGCGCGCTGCTCTGGCTCTCATCATAAGAGCCATGCACGCGACGCCTTTGGGGTGTAGGGTTGACGGCATATCGACGTGTTGCATAAATGAGCACTTTGGATGCTCTTGTAAGGCAGATTTTATGCATAATGGGCCTGTACATCTCGAGGACACAAACAGAAAACCTTGTTGCTTCGGCTTCTGGGCTTGGGACTTCATGGATCGGAGTACTAGGAGATTCATGGTTACTTATAGGGGGATTACTAGGATAGGTATAGATATAACCCATATTGGGGGTCCTGTTATAACCCCACTTAGAACTACCCATGAACCTCCAAGTAGGGCTCCAAGTAGAGGTGCAATGTATAGAACCAAGTGCTTGTGGTTACGAACCCTGCAAAACCACTCACAGGCCGAAACAACAAAAAACGTGCAAGACGAATACATACATGATCTCATACACCGGGGAAGAACTTCCACAGTGTTCTACAGTACTCAGTAACTCGTACTTTAGGACACGATTTCTCGCCTGTCCCGCCTGGCAAGTTCACTTGCAGATCGATGGTTGGATCGAGACCACCGCTTGTACTCATCCCGGTTGCATCCACAGAAAGGTTGAGGTGAATGAAATCAAGGGCACATGCTGGATGCTACTGCTTGTCATTTCCGACCAGACGGGGGGAAGGATGCACGGTAGGAGCTATTAAGACTGGGTTAGGGGTGATAAATTTGTAAACAGCCTACAATCTCCCGTTGTCGTATTCAGGTCAGACACGTCGTTGTGTTGATAGAAGCCAGTGGTGAACTTGCGATTGAAAACTGAATGCTTTGCCAGGGTTTAGGGTTTAGGCAGTCGGCCCTTCTTGAACCAGATGGTGCGCTACTCTACGACACATCCATTTCACGACATGCAATCATAATCGCTCATCATGATGGCCAGTTTTGGATCCGGAAGTGCAGTGTTTTCTGGTCCCCCGAAAGGAGATGAACTTTATGCAAACAGCGATGAAGTACCTGTCACAGAAGTACAGCCCCCATGGGTCGATGTACCCAATACACGGGCTGTAGGCTTGGGGCTTCACGGCTTCAGGATTTCGGAATTTGACGGTTCTTGTACCTGATAACCGGGCATGTGGACTGTCAGGTGTAGCTGGGATTACACAGGTGATGCCAATGCGGAAGACAACAAGATGATGGCTCTCAAAACATGTGCAGCAAACAATCCTTTATTGTGTACCAATGATGCAAGAGGAGTGTAGATAGTAAGTCAATGACATCTTTTGGTCTCTCAAAGGCGTCTGGCAAAGTGGGATGCCAATTGCACGGCAGCATTCATACATGCAGCTGCATGGTGCTGCCTCGAACACGGGTCAACCAGAGCACCAAATCAGAAGGATTCCACTTTGGGGCAAGGCCGCCCATGTATGAAGGATACAGCTTACTCAAAACTGTAGCCTAACCTACCAGCACCTACTTTTTCATAGGGCCTCTGTGAAGTACAGATTAGGGTTTATAACAAGAACCTACATAAAGGTAGGTTTTGGTAGGTTACGGTATCCAGAAGCACAACGTTTAGATTTGATCCGAGGCCCCTCTTGCAACCGAGCACAAACACACGTCACCTTACCTAATTGCCCCAAACACTAGACGGTTGAGGACTTTCTACTCTCCAATGAAGCGTCCTCTTTGGGTAAGGAATCTTAGGTTGACGAAAACCTCCAATTCTGTCGGGGACCCCTTACAAGCTCTTGACTCCAGCTCCATACTCGATCGATATTTCAGGTCGCAAGACTGAAACTAAATCAATCAGCAATAATCCTACTACTGCTACGACGACTACTACATGCTACTGCTTCTGATTCTGCTGCCACCGCTCCTATCGCTGATGCCACTACTACTAATACTACTACTACTACTACTACTACTACTACTACTACTACTACTACTACTACTACTACTACTACTACTACTACTACTACTACTACTACTTCTACTTCTACTTCTACTTCTACTTCTACTTCTACTTCTACTACTACGACTCCTCCGACTACTACTACGACTACTACGACGACCACGACCGCGACGACGGCGGCTACGACGACTGTGGCGACTAATATCACTGCTTCTGCTACTGCTACTAGTACTGCTACTGCTACCGCTACTGCTGCTGCTACTGCTGCTACTACTCCTTCTGCTACTGCTACTGCTACTGCTACTGCTACTGCTACTGCTACTGCTACTGCTACTGCTGTTGCTACGACGACTACTACTGCTACTACCATAAAAACTGCTGCTACGACTACTACTACTACTACTACTACTACTACTACTACTACTACTACTACTACTACTACTACTACTACTACTACTACTACTACTATTACTATTACTTATACTACTCACAGCTTTTAATCGTCGTAGCAATAATAAAGATAACAATAGTAAACATAACGTTCGCAATAGCAATAGAATAACAATAAACACAATAAGTAATAACGTCAATCATAAGAACAGTCACATCAATAACAACAATAGCACTGATAATGCTAAGCACAAGGAGAATGTTAGTAAATGGCAATGAACAAAACTGATATCAGCACAGTTCATACTATAAAGATAACAATGAAATCAGCACTGTTCATACTAGAATGATACTGTTGATGATGTAATTCCTGCATTACCCATTATAAGGAACATACCATTATTCCCATAGTTTAGGGTCCTTAAGGTAATGCGGGATTTATATCATCAACCGTAACAGTGTTAGCATTCCATCAACTGTGCCAAACCTGGCAGCGATAATTATAGTGATATGTCGGCGACTACGTATGCACATGCAAAACCACCGTATTCGTTCATATTCCCAAATCAACCGGCAAAAGTTTGTGATCCTAAATTACAGGTCTGATGCTTCCGACCAGCTGGAAAAGCAAAGGTTCGGTCGAGTGCCTTTGCCGGGTCACAGAATGGGGCCATGTTTAGGCTTTCGAGGATTGTTGAACAATGCAATAATCAGAGCCTGCTTGAATGATACTCACGCCCATAGGCTCGCAGGCATGCAGGACTGATGTCCCAGCTGCATTTGCCGTGTCTTTGGATCCTGGTTGGTCACTACATGATGCATGCACTCCTCGGAACTCGCTTCTACATGAGCCTCTGCAAGCATGGACGGCGACCCGCCCAGCAAACTGCCTCCCGTGCATGCTGATCCGACACACTGTACACTGTACGTTAAGGTACAGGGGCTCATCAAGACAGCGAGCTCGGGATGGATTTCATGCTGGCAAGCTAGCCATACCTTGCAAGGGGGACGCGCTGCCTAAACTGGCCACCAAAAATGCAATGGCCCATGAAATCCGGAAACCGGTCTTTGCCACGCATTGCTCGCGTTGGTGAGAAAAGCAGTGAAACATGCTGAGGAGATCTCTGTTTCGTCCAAGGAGAGCAGGACACACTCCAGCTTTGCGTCAAGTCCGTGCAAGTTGTGGATCCTTCTTGCTAAGATTTTCTAAGAAGTTTGGGAAAGAATCCTACAACAAATTTAGGAAGGTTCTATCAAGGCGTTTAGGGTTGTAGGTTTGCGAGGACGAGTGTTTTTTGGCAAGGCAGTCTTAAGGTTAGAACTCCAGTTGGGACCTGGGGAACATAATGGCCTTGGTGAAACCTGCAACTTGACGGCATAAGTGTGCTATATGGTTCAGAGGTTTAGGGTTTAGGGTTCTCCAGCTCATTATAGCCATGGTTCCCTGACCCCTGGCATCGAGGTCCTCAACGCCTCATCCTTGTGATGGTGAAGGAAGCTCACTTGTGTGCCCGGAAGTGAGTATGCGGAACTCGTCCTGCACATGACAAAACATCGCATGCGGATGGTCGATGCATGTGGGCCTACCCTAACACTACATGTACCCATTAGTAGGTGCTTAGGCCTTAAAGGGGTCCCTAAAAAAGGTACTTTAAGGCATAAGTACCCGCTACATGGGTACATGGAGCCTTCGGGCTAGGGGCAGGGCTGGAACCATCCTTGAATCCTGAACGAGTGAAAGTCTCAAAGCCAAAAAGCTCGGTATGCTAACTTACAAGACTTCGCTCTCTTCAGCTCAGCGCCGTTTGGGCTCTTGTCAGGTCATTGACATTTGGGTTACGAACTTAGGGATTGTTGGATTCGATAGCTGAGGGAATTCAGGGCTTCTATGTCCAGGTTGTCTTACGACTCTGCACCTGCTGTACACGTGCATGTCAGTGTCGACACAGGTATGAGGTTGCTTTGCTTACCGTTTTCTCAACTTCTATGACCCTGTCATGTTGAGTGCTCCATGTTCTGCGGTCGCTTCGGAACTGACAGCACTAGAAATTCGCTGTGAACCATAGCCTTAACACGGTAAGCTCTGCACTACACCCAAGACCCAGAACTGCAAATCGCAAGCCGCGAGCCTTTACCAAAGTCTGACACGAAGCTTCAGATTAGGGTATAGGATCAGGGTTTCGGGGATTGAAATTGGCTCGGAATACCCTGGAGCCAAAAGCCCTCTTCCGGTACAAGAAATCCTTGACACCCGGATCACATCGAGCGAGGGCCGTGAAGCCATCCTGACGCATGTTTCGGTGAAAGCTGGTGGCGAAAGGGTCTCGGGTCAGGGTTCACCTATAGTCTCCATTGTAGTTCCTTTTTTGGTTAAAAAGTTTTATGGTTAGGATCCTATAACGGAGATTTTGGTTAACCCAAAAAGGAACTACAATGGAGACTATAGGTAGGGTTGAGAGTCACATAGCTTCCGGCCCAATGCTGGAGGTTTCGGTTCAGTGATTCAGGGTGTCTTTCTGCGGCTTGCCCTTCTATTGCGACTTCAAACCGAGACAGTCAAGAACTGCAGTGTTTCGCAATCTCCTCACCACATGATACTGCTCAGAACGTCGGTGTTCAGACTCAGGTTTAGCGCGGTGTGGGTTGCTCCAACGAACTCGTGAATTACCATCTTTCCCCGGGTCAATATTTCCATCGCCGTCAGCAGACTCAAAAACCGACTCTGGTCGCTACAGTAGCAGGTTTAGGGTTTGGGGGTTTAGGGGGCTTCGAGGTTTACCACTATGGGCTATTAGACCTTATGGGTACCTTAATCTACCCTTAATAGGGTCCTAATAGGGATCTTTAGGGTCTAATAGCCCATAGAGGTTTAGGGCTCAGGTAAAGTTTAGGGGTTGAGTTCCTTTTTTGGTTAAAAAGTTTTATGGTTAGGATCCTATAACGGAGATTTTGGTTCCAGGTAAAGCTTAGGGGTTGAGGGGTTTAGGATCGGGGCTTCGATGGTCAGACACCTCGGCTCCGGACTCTTTTATTGGGGAACCTAGGGTACAGGGTTTAGGGCTTCGGCTTATTCTACTATATGCTTAAGAACCCTCAAAAAATAAAAAACCATATTCCTTATGGGGGTAATATAGGGATTATTATTTGTATTTTTTGGTGGGTTTCTTAAGCAAATAGTAGTATTGAAAACAAGACCAGCCAGCTGAAGATTAGATGGCCAATGTGAGTAAATGGAACAGAAGTGTTGAGCATATGCCCTACCGACTACATACGTAGCGAGTATATCTTTAG